TCACTTGCTAAACCGGCACAACGGTATAAACCGGTTTGACAACCTTGCTAAAAAGTAGCCTTCAGTGGAACAATGAATGACAATGAGGCACATTTGGGGCGAGTTCCCTGAACAATCCCCTTCCCTATTTCCAGAATTCCAAATTCATACCCGCCCCATACTCATATGGAAAAAGGTTTGCAACTCCATCCCATACTCGCGATTTTTAGATCCACATGTGTACACTACTATATATACCTAGAATTAATGCAATAAAAATAGAGCTAATAAACCTAGGGTAAACAAGGATATAACAATTGTTAATTTAAATTCAAAGCATCCAAGGCTACAACATCTATTAGTTCATAAGAAAATCAATAGTTTAGCATCTAATCATTCAATATTTATATTTTCAGAGATATACATTATGAAGCGAATATGGTATGGAGCGGGAAACCTAAAACCATATCTGCCTCATCTTCGTTTATTCTTTTGTAGTTTCTATCTATACATTCCTCGTGTTGGCTGCCTTGGGGAGGTCGGTTATCCATGATTTTGGGTTTAATTCTCATTCCTAACTGGACATAAATTTAAAAAAGCTTAGGGACTCAATTGCCATAATCCAAAGATTGGTAGAGTGGAAGACTAATAAACTAAAAAATCTGGGAGCTAAAAGGAACTTTTCGTATCCGTTCCTCAATTAAGAATAAGACTTGGGGACCAATCTATAAAATTACAACAATCAAAATTTCAACTTCTCGTTCTCCCGTCCGCCATAGATTGGATTGACAGAAAGCAACTTCTTCTACCCTCCGTCCTCTCGTCGCTCTCTTCGCCTCTCTCTCTCTCTCTCATCCAATCCCCTCTCTCTCTCTCCTTCCTTCCTCTTTTCCTCCTCCCCCAAATCTGAAACAAATTAAAAACCGCACCAGCGGAACCCTAGCCCTAATTTCCTTCATTCACAATCTTCTTCCTCACCCACCCGACTTTACCTCCAAACCCTAATTCCTTCTCCAGTTTTGTTCCTTCAATTCCCTTTTACCCATCTCGCCTGCATTTCACCCTCGTCTGTGTCTGCTCACAGAACCTCACTGTGGGAGACTGAGAGCGATTCACGCAACACACCGAACAGCACAAGTTTTTTTTTTTCCAGCTCAAAAAACACGGCATGGAGGGGATACCGCACCCAATACCTCGGACCGTGGAAGAGGTCTTCGGTGACTTCAAAGGCAGGCGCGCTGGCTTGATCAAGGCTCTTACTACAGGTCTCTTTTTTAGCCCAGCTCTTCCGAATCTGTTTTTTTTTTTCCTCCTTTCATTGTTAAGCTTCGTTGGTGTCGTGTTACTTTAAACGCCCTAAATCTCCTCTTTCTTTGGCTTTTTTTGAGTTTTTGGGTTCTCCAATTGGCTTAAGTCTTGCCTTTATTTTTGATTGGACGTCTGGGTCTTTTCTTTACATGTAATTCTCTTAATTGTTTTCCCCATTTTTTTCTATCGCAGATGTCGAGAAGTTCTACCATCAGTGCGACCCTGGTGGGTTCCGGTTATCCGTTCAAATTTCTGTTTTATTTTTATGAAGCTCCCGAATATTCGTTAATGGCTTCCTGGGGTTCATATGTACTTTTTATGTTCGCCCCTGGATTGCAATTCTGCTTTTCAAGGTGTTGAAAGTGAACTTGTGTGGTTATCTTGTTTGCTCTGATCTTCTTTTAATGGGGTTCTCTGCATAATATTTGCCGCATTCAGCATGAAAGTACTCAAGTCTCTTATATTGAGCCCCTGTGTGGGACTCATTACTGTGCGGAAAGTTTGTGTTAATGGCACTTCACTTTAGAACTCACGTGGCTAGTTTCATGCTTATGTGTGTAAAGTGCAGGCAGACTTGACCAATGTAAACACTTTTGCAGTCTGTTGGTGAAGTAAATAAGGCAGAATGTAAAATTCTGACCATGGAATTCAGTCGTTTCGTTTCTTGAATGGATGTGAAGAGTGAATGTTTGTGCACTGAACTATAACAATTTTTAATTGGCTCAAGAATAATTGCTGCATCTAGCCTTGGGACATTGTTTAATTGCTTCTGAAACCAAATGAGTATTTGAACCCAAGCAAATGCATTAGTTGTTGTCATTTCCGTCTTTTGTGTGTGTTACCTCCTGTAAATTTAATAGGGCTTCACTTCCGAAAATGTCGGTAAAGGGTTCATTTACTAGTATGAGAAACAGCTAGAGTTGACTTAAATGAATCCATTATCCGCATCCACCTATCATGCATTCTCATTCTTGATATCTTCCCTAAGCTTCTGTTTTTCCTCATTGTAGTACTTGCTTGTGTGGCTGATTGTGGTGAATTGATAGAGTTTTCTAAATTTACATTCCATTCTGAGTGTGCATGCCTGCAGAAGCTGCATTGCCCCTCACTTCAAGATACTGATTTTTAGTGAGCAATATAGCATGAGGTGTGACTTTATGAATGTATGATGTAGGTATGGTTTTGGATATCTGCAGCAATCCTGTACATGTGCGCATTTGGTAAATAATTGGCTGTTACCCCATTCTACATTTTGGCTGGCTTTGGCGACATAGATGCTGGCCAGTTTGCCAGTTTTTATGTTTTTAGTACTTTTGACAAGTGTATGGCAAGCTAAAATGTGCTCTGCACTGCTTCTTCCCAATAACCACTTCATGGACATTCATGAACCATGATAATGGTAAAATAGTCACCCTAGCCCATACTGGCTGTGGCATCACGTTTTGACTTTTAAGGTTAAGCTTGTCAGGATTTTGTCTTCCTGTTTTGTTTAAGAGATTGTTGTCTGTAGCGTAACCATATGCTTGGTACTCTTTCCTGCCATCCGGTGGAGTTTGTGAACTTTTATCATAAAGGCAGACTTGTTCCCTGCGTTCTAACCCTATGTGGTTCTATGTGCTCTTCTGTCATTTGTTTAGTGTGAAGATTTTTTTAGTTGAATGCCTGGTTTGTATTTACAAGTCCAATTTAGTTCATGATGTCCCTGATGGCCTAATTTTTCCTTAACAGAGAAGGAGAACCTGTGTCTTTATGGGATGCCAAATGAGACATGGGAAGTTAACTTGCCAGTGGAGGAGGTGCCTCCCGAGCTTCCTGAGCCTGCGTTAGGCATTAATTTTGCTAGAGATGGTATGCAAGAGAAGGATTGGTTGTCACTTGTTGCAGTTCACAGTGATTCATGGCTGCTTGCTGTTGCTTTTTATTTTGGGGCTCGGTTTGGGTTTGGCAAGAATGAAAGGTATGGTTGCATGATGTTTCAGAGCTATTCATTTCTGCTTTCTGTTTATTGTTAAATTACCCATGTGTTGTTGGTTGGATTGCCTGTCTCCATTTTAGTAAACTACATCCTACAAAAGCCAAACTGTCAGACCTAGCTCTAGTGATTTACATTTGGTGGAGTTGGGAATCATATTTCATTAGTTTGCACTGCCGTTAGTATTCCATTACATTCTGATCTGGAAAACAATTTAACTAATGTTTAAAAGGCACAATCAACATTGAGGATGGTTATTTGATCTACTCTTAGCTAGGCCACTATTTTATCCTGTATATTTGTTCACATCTTACACTTACAGGCTTTAAAAGTTGTATGCAGTTTAGTAGCCGCATGATTGTCGTCTTGCTTATTTGACCTTCCTAACTAGAATGGGAAGATGTAGATGAACTGCCTTTTATCCTTCTCCCTATTTCATCTTCCCTTCTGATTTTTTATTTATTTTTATATTTCGGGTGTAACCAAACTCTCATGGGATTGCCAATTGGGTTTCATATATTCTCTTTCTTCCTTTTTATATTTGTTTGGTGAGTAAGTTGGAGGGTGGATAAGTTGGAGGGACGTGGATCAGATCAGTATCTCAAATGTTTCTCTCCATTGCTGAGGAAAAGGCTTAGTTATGGTTTCATTGATGAGCTTGACTCATTAATATCTGATACTGGGAGTTCTTTCATTATGAAGGCTGATAAAATTGATTGTAAGCTTGCCTGCCTATTAAGTTTCATTTGTGACTCTCACCTAATGTGAACCTGGCCGAACTGAATACACTTTTTCCGATTTTGACCTTGGGTCTTTGGGGATTTTGAATCGCAGGAAGAGGCTTTTCCAGATGATAAATGAAGTCCCCACAATATTTGAAGTAGTGTCAGGACCCGGCAAGCAACCAAAGGACCAGTCTGCAACTCATAACAACAGCAGCAGTAAAAGCAAATCAAGCTCAAAGATGGTAAGAGAATGAGGTTGACATTTCTTGCAAATTATCATCTCTGGATGCCCAATTTTATCGCTAGAAGAACTCGTTTCTCATCGCAAACTGGGTTCTTCTCTTGTTGTATGTATGAATTTAAAGCAAGCTCGGCAACCGGAGCCCCTCACAAAGGCAGTGAAGATGTCCCCACCGCCAAAGGACGATGACGAGAGCGGGGAAGACGAGGAGGAAGATGATGAACAAGGTGCAACCTGTGGGGCATGCGGCGAGAGCTATGGAACGGACGAGTTCTGGATTTGCTGTGACGTTTGCGAGAGATGGTTCCATGGCAAATGTGTGAAGATTACACCTGCAAAGGCTGAGCACATCAAGCAGTATAAATGCCCTGGATGCAGTGGCAAGAGGGCAAGAGTTTAGGCATCATCACCATCATATTAGTAGCTGGAGGAAAGATTTGGGGTTGGAGGAATTCAGTTGGGAGGGTGGGTAGTAGAAACCTTTTTCCTTATTCTAATCCGTCTGTTGCAGCCTTTAAAAAGTTGATGAAACTTAACCAAACCGGCCCCAATTTAGGCGCCCATTTTAGTTCAGGATCAGGGATGACTCTGGAGATGTGTTTGAATTTTCATCTTTTTTTTTTTTTTGGTTATCTTGTTAAGTGTTATGGGTTTTCCTTTATGTCGAAATTTTTTCGGGTTAATGTGTTTCATCTCTAATGTTGTCGGGAATCTGTTGTTTTTCTATTAGTTGTTGGGACTTGAACCCTATTATTATAAATAGGTGGTGACTACATCGTGTCATGTTATTATATTGTTGAATGACCGTCTCTTTGTTAGCTTCGAGCGTTCTGGTTTATGAACTCTGCTGCTGCTGCTGCTTTCTTACCAACGGTTTGGTTTATCCATGTTGAATTTCATAGTATCAGAATCACTGATGAATTCTGTTCACTCCATTTTTTTTCTTCCACTTTGAGGTTGGCTTTCTTTGTAAGAGAGAGAGGGAGGGAAGACCTGAAAGTACAGGAGGATCAAATCTCTGCTGCAGGGCAGAGAATCATATAGAGTAATTTGCATACATTGACTTCTGTCCTCCCTTTTTGAATTTATGATTGTCATCTCTACACATCCACGGGATTCTCTTACATTTTCTTTATATGGAAATCCTGACAATGGACCAGTCCATGGAAATGATGAGTTCCTTAGCTTGCCTGAAGTGAAACTGCTGTGGAAGCAAAACTAGAATGACTAATGCAGTAATACCGAGTCTGGTAGAGAAACAAACACGACGGATATGACAAATTTACATCAAATCACTAAGAGTCTAAGACAATGAAAGGATAGCTTAGTTTCTGAAACAGATCACCCTAAAGTAGCATCAGCAAATTCCCACAATACCACTGAATCTTCATTACCCATCAGGCCCTAAAGATATGAACATGAAAAACCTTGTCCTTCGTATCAACGAGCTCCAACAAGCATACATCTCCTTGGACCAAGTAATTGGCCTGACAGAACTCACCCCAACACAGGAACAGCAGGACCTGTTTGTTGTTTCTGGTGGTACAAATCTCGAATTCGCCCACGAATTCTCCCCCCTCAAAGGCACGCAGCACTATCGTTTCAGAATCTCTGCGTAAGTACTCCTTGGCGAACTTCGTGGGAAGGTACTACATATTCAGGAAAAAAAAGAACCTCTCATTAAGCAAACAAGTAGATATCTCTGCTACTGCTAATAAGCTAACGAACACCTAAACCAACAATTGAAATAGTACATTGCTGCCTCTTCACAATCATACTTATCAAAAAGAATATCAGACCCTTCTGGTTTTCATAGGGAGTAAGAGAAAGACTTTACCATAATGCCTGGATGGATGTTGAATTTCTGCATGACCATTAATACCGAAGGGTTCCCTTGCTTGTTGCAAGAGATGGCCTTTTCTATCCCTTTCTTGCTCACTCGAGACAACTTCGCGAAAGTCAGCTGGAACTTGGCCGAGAACATGATCTTCGATGCCAGCAGACGGCTCCACAGAACTTTGTCCCGCCCTGATGCTCCACCAAAGAAAAGAAATGTAATGATTTCATTTCATGTTAAAAAAACAAACCTTTTTACTGGTTTTCGTTTCATTACCTGAAGCAGTTTCAAGATAGCGTGTTGCTGCACTGGATTGTGTTGGCTGGTGGTGTCGAGACCCTGAAGCGCCATTGCTGCTCCTCGCCGCTTGTTTTCCCTTTCTTTTGCTCCTGCCTATTTCCCAGTCATCGGCAGATTGGGAGTCCTCTGTAGCTCCATCACTATCCTCCTCCGTCAGAATTGGCCGCTTTCCCCTGTTTCGTTCCCCCGCTGCTGCTGCCAATGTCAGATCACCGTTATTACCAAATGAAAACTGCTTATAAGCTTCAAAAACTCTGTGGGAATAAGAATCTGGGGTATGAACTTCCATCACAGGAACATAGAATTAAACCCAGACCAAAATTGATACTGAGGTGGTTTGATCAAACTAATTTCCGGCCAGCGGGAGCTTTAACTGATTTTTACCTGAAGAAGTGCCGGCGGATCGTTCCGTGGGTGGTTTCCGGCGAGACCCTGAAGCAGTACGGCGTCTGCCGTTTTCCCTCCGAGAAAGCATATGGGGGACTTCTTCATTGGTGTCAGAATCAGAATCTTCATCGGTCTCCTTGGTACCAAATCCCAAATCGATGCTTTCTTCTTCCTCTTCATCTTCATCATCGTCTTCTTCATCGGAAGAAGATGGCAGAGGTAGTGGGCGCGGGTACACAATCTCGCAAGCAGACTTGTCGCAAATAATCACTTTGAAACTGGAGAAGCCATTATACTCAAACATCAGCAGATAGCCCTGCTCGGTGATGGAGTAATAATCCAGAAAATGGCCGAATCCGAAATCCAGCCACACTTGCGGTTCTCCGTGTTCTCCCCGTTCTCTTGTCAAACCCACCGTCCAAACTCTGCCCGTTGGTACTTCCAGCTTTACTTCGTCATAAAGCTCGTTTCTGAAAGTCCTCACAAACCTCCCCGGCAGCATCTGTAGCTTCGAGAAGAAGAAAAAAAAGAGAAGGGGGAAACGAGAACAGAGTACGAACTCAAATTCAGGGGAGGTTAAGAATGCAAGAAGAACAGCGAAATAGACTAACTTTCTCGGTTGGGGCTTACCAGTTTCTTGCTTTGAACGGCTCCTGCCATAATCAACTTGAAGAAATGCCTGAAAGGCTGGTGGGTCTCATCGGCCCCGGAGAACTCCCAACGGTAGCCTGCCATTTTCCCTTAGACAGAGTGTTGGCTTAAGCTATTTTGCAGTCGTTATGCTTGGAAAGGAGAGGGTTTGCGTTGATGTAACAGTGTCAAGGGAATGGAAATCAGGGGAAAGGGAAGAACAAGAAAAGAAGTGTTCCTTTAATTGAGCCTCACTGTCAAAATATAATTAAGGATGCTCTGTTTTCCCCCCTCTTTTGCTCTGTTTTATTGCTGTTGAAGAGAGGGGGTAGTAAGCTTTCTCAGAGTTGTCGTCACAACTATAACTCTATAAGCTTGTAAGTCAATGAACTTAGACCAGCTGCAGCTGATGCAATAGCCATTAGTGTCAGTAGCTACAGATTTCCTTATTCTCCAAAAGTGTCAGTAGCTAGCATTCCAGTTTGGGCAAGTTTCAGTCCATACTCCAGATTTACGAGCAACTTTGCAGGCTTTTCTCTGATCGGCTGGCTGCCTGTCTCTCTGCCAAGAGAGAGCGAGACCAGATATGTACGCTACAAAGGATCAAATCTCGAGTGCAGGGCAGACGAGATATGGTAAAAGAATTTGACTGCTATTTCAGTGGGATTTAACCACCTGAGTCTAACACCAACTTGGCAAAATAGCATAGTGTTAGTACCTAAACGCATCAATGTAACTTCTTGGGTTACAATGGTTAAGGAGGAATAGGAAGGATGAATTCAAAGCCCTAAACAGAAAAACCCAAATGAGTCCCTTCTAACAATGGGCACAACAACTCTATACACCGTACTCAGCTCCTCCACTTGGCCACGGTTCCACTTTCACAGTTGGGAGAGGATTGGGGCTCAGCCTTGGTTCATCGAGAACCCGAAATATGATCACTTTGAAGACGAGGTTGATGGCATCAACCAGCTCGAAGATGCAGACATCCCCTTCTTCCAACTTGTTTTCGCACACAAACTGCGACCACCCTTTGGCTAGCTCGCTTTGGCCTAGCGATGTGCTGCACTGGACATACCATTGTTCCCCATTGCCTACTCGGAGAGTGATATTCCCTGTGAATCCATCCAAGTACTGCTGCTTAAACCGAGACGGGACATGCTGTCGCGAAATGTTAAATGAGGATGTTAGTCAATTGTTTTACAGACTTGCATCTCAAGAAAGTTGGAGCCACACTTTCTACTCACAAGAAGAAAGCCTTTGTACACATCAGATGGCCTCAAGGCAATCTGAAAGAAAGGGTAACTCGGCCTGTACATATTCGCAGCACGAACCGTTCTCATTTTTTCTTCCGCTCTTACATCTCTCCACCTCCTTGTGGACACACTCGGTTCGAATTGTAGACCACCTCCTGTGTCATTCAAATAATGCGTGATGCAACTTTTGATGAATTGAATTGGGCAAACAAGTCTGAACCAAATAAGTATAGCACATAATGGATAAATCTTGGAGTAGATATGAAGCTTACCTGTTTCAGCGCCTTGTGTGTTACTTCTTCTGGTTATTGCTCCTACACGACTACCATTTACAAGTTCACTCACTTCAAACTGGACATCAACAGCACTCGAAACATGAACCCTCTTCTCAAAATTGCAAGGATTCAATTCACATTCAGCTTGCTCCTCTTTATGATCAGGAACCAAGCATTGCCTACTCTCATTCTTACTACCCTGCAAATCAGGCTGCCTATTTCTACAAGGATACTTGATCTCAGCAGCTGCCAAATCGAATATGTTTACTGCGAAAGTCGAGTTCCCTTGGTAGCTGAAGGTCAGGAAATGTCCAGCCCGAACAGAATAGAATTCCACAAACTCTATCCAGCCATTGCCAAACCATAGTTTCTCCTTCCATCTTTCCAGTTCTACGACCCAGGCCTCACCATTTGGAGCAGTCAGGATAGCAATCGAAACGAGTTCCGCCCCATAATTCTTCACAAACTTATCAGGGACCCTCTGTTTGAAGCCAACCCAGAAATTCAAACGGAAACAAATTCCATTATCAGTAATGCGTTCCAAGGAACATAATTGAACACAATTGGACAAAGAATCATTAAATCAAACAAACAAACAAAGAACAGCTGAAGTCAAAACAGAATTGGGCAAAGGTCAAACTCGATTCACCTACCAGGCTACCACACAAACTATTAACTTCCCTCATAATAACCCTTGCCCACAATTGAACTAGATACCAAACCCCAGATTATTTTCTCGCGCCCAAAGCTTTCTCAGCAACCAAACAAGCGAGCGAACAAACAAAAGAAGAAAGTCTATGCATCAGCCCTGAGGAAGAAGCGGGAAGTGAGGCGCACCAGCTTCTTGTCGTCGAGAATGGAAGCGACGATCAGCTTGTAAAACATGCAGGATTTCGTCGACGCCATAGCGGGGAGACGAGTAGTCAGCGGCGGAACTGACGACCCTTGGTCTTCTTCTGATGGACCCACAAGTTGGAGACGGGAGATGGTTAGGGAAAGATGTTCATTTGGAAATCCTGTGTTAGGCAGCCTACCAGAACTACGGTGGTACTCCCATGATTTAAAGGTTCTGATGGCATGGGGTTAAAAAGACGGAGAAAAGATCCTGACCCGACAACAGGGGAAACTGATTCACTTTCACACTCACGCAGAGAAGGAAGAAAGGGAGAGAGCATAACATAGATTGTCTAGTGTCTCATTCTCCGGCCAATGCTGAACCCCCTAGCTCAACTCTATATTAGGCTTGTACTCTCCTCTCTAACACCAAACACATTATTGTATCGAAGATTGTACCCAATAAAATTAGTGATTTGTTATTTTATATAAAAGATTATAATTTATACTTTAGTTGGAAAATTTTCTAGGTTGGACTGCGACTATCGATCAAGGCATACGAGTGAAGGTGACAACTCTCAAAAGGGCATTGATTTGTGAGATCTCTCCGTCTTAGAGAGAAGGCTAGTAACTTGAAGGGAAGAAGGATGTCCCGAGTTGGATCCAATGCACGTATGAGAAAAATATAAAATATTAATAGACACTTGAGAATAATGCAGAAAGCGAGAAACTTTCCGAATGTCATACAAAACCCTGATATATTCATAATGAAGAACTGCTCTCGAAAATACCTAAGGCGCAATATATATTTTTATGGTGAGTATGTTAATCACTCGCTTGTGGTCTAATTATCTCGTGCAGTAAAAATGATTGGGTATATTTTTGTAAAGATAATTTCTTTACAATTTGAGAATCGTATAGAGTGAAGATTAATCAAGGGTGCTAAACCGATTATATTGTTACGTTACTTTAGCAATTGCTATGAAACGAAATAATAAGGAAAGTGAGAAGCATACCAATCAGGCCCAATACAAGTGCCCAAATACCATAAAAGTAGCACATAAACACATAAAAACAAAGTCCACACACAGAGAAGTCCCACAAACCTTGTCGATTTGCATCTCCACGTGCACAACCGTCGTCGCTCGAAGTATCACCACAGGTCGACCACCAACAATGCACACCGCTCGATCGAGAAACACCCAATCAACAAGACAAACAATAAGCATGATTGCTCGAATTTACCAATCCATATGGAAGATCGGAGCATGACTAGCACAAGAGAATCGTCACTCGTCTCCAAACCTTACCTCATCGGACCAGACACCTTCAGTTGCTTTCAAGCAATGGGTGCCTCATGATGAAACACAGAGATTTAATCTAATATCTTCTAATATCCCGACCGCATCATAGTCCATTCACAAAAGGAAGGTTTCTAAGGATCACCAATATATGTTACTTGCAAAACAAGAAGGTAAACTTATAGATTATTGGATTTGCTCTAACCAAACTATCAACCTTATATGTAATGATCCAATCATTTTTATTGTCGAATTCAGCTATATATGTATGAGGTCTCAATTCTGGAACATGCTTGTGTCATATATGCTCCAAGATCTTACCTCATTGAAGATAGTAGGTCAAAAGATGTCGACGGGGAAAAATCATTGCCCAAAAAATCAGGCTGACCAGACCAAAAACCAAACTACAAGTGAACTACAGTACTACATCTCCAAGAACATGTTTCTCGTCAATCATTCGCTCATAAAAGGGAGAAAAAGGTCCAAAAACAAAATTTCCCTCCCTTCCTTTCCTTCTTTCAACTTCGCTCTTTCTCTCTCTACCACTGCGCCTTCCTCCCACCACCACCACGCTGTTCTCTGCCTTCGGATTCAACATTTCCGGGCGCCAACTGAAACCCTAGAGAGAGAGAGACTTACCTAGAGAGAAACAGAGTGAAAAATGGAAAACTGATTCACTTCCACGTTCACGCAGGGGAAAGAGACAGAGAGAGAGAGAGACAGAGAGAGAGAGAGCAGAGCAGCGCTTGTTTATCATTCGTATCTCCAGCGGCCCCCCTCTCTAATTCAATCTCCTTCTCTGTATCCTCACTGACTACAATATTCCCTTCTTCTTCCTCTCCCTATCTCCATTACTATCTCCCTCAGATCTGCATAAACTCCCCTGTTCTGCTTCCCATCTTTCACCGTCAAATGACAAATGAGGCCGCCTCCATGATTGGACGGATTATAATCAGCAGCAGCACTCGCCCTTCTTACTAGGCCTTGACCAATCCCTTTGACTCCCATGGCGGATTTCCGAGTTGCTGATCTCCACCTGAGAAAAGAGCTGACCCAAATCAGAAAAGCCTCCCGCGTCCTCCGCGACCCTGGCACCTCTTCCTCCTGGAAGAAATCCCCTCTCCCCCTTCCTTCCTCGTCTGCCTCCAGATCTGCCACCGCCGCCGCTCCTCCCTCCTCCGATTCCCACAATGCCGCCGCCGCCGCCGAACCCATTTCCGACCGTCCTGTTTTTCTCTACAATTGGAAGTCCTCCAACCACAAAGCCCTAAATGCGGACGGTGACGAGGGTGATTACTTCTACGGCGAGTCCTGCTCCCTGCAGGAACAGAGCATCGACGGCAGCCTCACGGGGGAGGACTCCAGGAGCGACACTATTGCATTCTCCTCCTCCGCCGCTTCCAAGATTCTCCGCTGCCGCGACGCTGCAGCTCTCGCTTCTCCATCGATTAACAAGCGAGCTGCTCCGAACAAGAAGCAGCGGGGTAAGAAATTTGGTGCTACCCGGTCGGATGTTTTGTCTAGATATAGCCACCACAACCACAAACCCCACCTTAATCTGACACCATTGCTTAGAAATCATCATTCTCTGGCTTTAGCCCTAGGCAGCAGGGATGGGACTTCCGTTGACCATTCCGATGCTACAACCGAGGACTATGGTTATGCTCGTTCGGAGGATTTGAGGAAGTTGCCTTCTTCCGCTTCTCCATTGCTGTTGAAGCTTAGGAATAAGAACTGGGCTCGTTCGCCTGCTACGTTTTTGAAGAAGGGTAGTCAAAAGGAGGAGTCTTTTTGCTCCTACAACACACCTGCATTGTCGACTAGCTCGTACAATCGGTACTACAATCGTAATGCGAGTACTGTTGGATCTTGGGATGCTACCACGAACGATGGAGTGGATGATGAGGAGGATGAGGAGAATTTGGATTTGCCAGGTGGACATGGATGTGGCATTCCTTGCTACTGGTCGAGGAGGACGCCGAGGCACAGTAGGGGGTCGTGTGGTGGTAGTTGCTGCTCTCCTTCGCTCTCGGATACATTGAGGAGGAAAGGAAGTCGGATTCTTTGTGGTGGTAGTCAGTCGATTGGTCATCGATCGAGGCGTTCGTTATCGGTGTCTAATAAGCGGAGGATGGGGTCGAGAAGTGCTCAGGGAGTTCTGCCATTGCTGGCTGGTGGCAGAGGGGGATCATCGATTGGTACTGCTTGCAGTGCCAGTGATGATGAGCTATCTACAGCAAACTATGGGGAGCTTGATTTGGAGGCCTTGAGTAGATTGGATGGGAGAAGGTGGTCAAACTGTAGGAGTGCCGAGGGACTTGAGATTGTTCCAGTGAATGGAGGAGATCTTGAAGGGGAAACTAGTCCAGAAAGTATCAGAAGTTTGAGCCACAAGTACAATCCAGTCTTCTTCAGTGAACTAATTGGCCAGAACATTGTTGTTCAATCGCTTACGAATGCTGTTTCTCGGGGGAGGATTGCCCCGGTCTATCTTTTCCAGGGACCTCGCGGAACTGGGAAAACATCAGCAGCCAGGATTTTTAGCACTGCTTTGAATTGCACTTCTACTGGTGTAACTAAACCTTGTGGGCACTGTTCATCTTGTGCTGACTTCGTTTCTGGAAATAGCAGGTTTATGTGGGAATTTGACGGGACAAGTAAGCAATGTGCTGATAAAATGCGATACCTTCTCAAAATGGTTTCTCAAGCTCGCCAATTGAGCTCTTCACATTATCAGGTGTTTCTGGTTGATGAGTGTCACCTGCTGCCATCTAAGTTGTGGTTGGCATTCCTCAAGTTCCTTGAGGAGCCACATCGGCGTGTGGTGTTCATATTCATCACAACAGATCCTGACAACGTGCCACGAACGGTGCAGTCCCGATGTCAGAAGTACCAGTTTAACAAAATTAAAGATGCAGATATTGTATCGCGATTGAGGAAAATTTCTAGTGAAGAGAATCTGGATGTCGAATCCGATGCACTGGACCTTATAGCTATGAATGCAGATGGTTCGCTTCGAGATGCTGAGACTATGTTGGAACAGTTGAGTCTTTTGGGGAAAAAGATAACTACATCATTGGTGAATGAACTTGTAAGTTCTCTATGCAGAACATAATGGTCCATCTACTCTGCTCTAATTTTGATATTTTGACTTAGTCTTTTCTGATATGGGAAGTTCCTTGATAAGCTCTTTGCAGAATACCTACTGGTTCTAACTCTGAACAATGTCTTGGAACTTGGACAATTGCGGTTTGAAACTCATAACTTTCTGCATCTGCAGGTTGGAGTTGTCTCAGATGAGAAATTACTGGAACTCTTGGAGTTGGCATTGTTATCAGACACTGCGGAAACAGTGAAAAGAGCCAGGGATTTGATGGACTCAGGGATTGATCCTATGGTATTGATGTCTCAATTGGCTAGCCTTATAATGGACATCATTGCAGGAATTGGCAATGCAGGTGATGCCAGATCCAGCAATTCATTTTTTGGTGGAAGAAACTGTGAGTACGATGCTTATTTGAAAAATTTGGATCATTTTAGAATTGTCTGTTAACAAATTAAGCTAAGATCTTGAGAGAGCGAATGGTTTTGGTTTCGTCTTTTGCATTTTGTTTAGTTGCTCAAGTAATTTACTCAAAATACGTCAGTTTACCTCCTTGACTGGAGGAATTTTGGGAGCGTTTAACTATGTACTACCCATAATTTTATCAGTGCATGTTTGATGGACAATTTTTGTTCATATGTCTGTCAGAGTATGGCAGGATACTAATAGTTGCTCTGTCTTCGAACTGTTCTGTAGTGACTGAAGCAGAAGTAGAAAGATTAAAAAATGCCTTGAAGATTCTGTCAGATGCTGAAAAACAACTACGGTTTTCCAGTGATCGTTCAACATGGTTCACTGCAACCCTTTTACAGCTTGGTTCAGTGCCTTCACTAGAACTGACGATCTCAAGCAGCAGTAAAAGGGGTAGCAGCTCCAGGACGACTGAGGAAGATCCTTCAAGTGCTTCAAGAGAAGCATCGGTCTACAAACGCAAGTCAGATGCTCAGTATCTACAAAGGAGATCTAGTTCACCTGCTTCCTTGTATGATGCAATGAATGGTAGCTCATTTGGGTTGAATTGCAAGTCCCCTCATAGCCAATTGATGGGTACCTGTAGCTCGTCTCTCTCTCTGGATGGGAGCATGTCTGGTGACACACCATCTCGACTTAGGGACTCGGAAAAGTTGGATTTCATCTGGGAGAAATGCATTGAAAAGTGTCACTCAAAGACTCTGAGGCAGCTGTTACATTCACATGGGAAGCTTTTGTCCATAGCGGAAGTTGAAGGTAAGTGCATGAATCTTTCTTGAAAGTTATCCAAACTCCAAACGTAGAATGAATGGGTGAGCAATATACAATACGACTTTCATGATGGTGGTCCAAAACATTAGGACTCATGCAGATGCTTCTTTCCAGTTTCCACAAACAACTATGCATTTCATGCTTCTGGAGGTATAGTTAAAACTTAAAAAGAATAATCTTGCACTGACATGAACAAAGTTGTCCAAGTTATCTTGCTCATTGGTAGTAATAAACTTGTCAAAAATATTTCCCTTAATTATGCATTTATTTTGTGTGCAGGTGTGCTGGTTGTGTATATTGCATTCATTGATAGAGAGATTAAAGCAAGAGCTGAAAGGTTTATGAGCAGCATCACAAACTCAATAGAAATGGTCTTGAGACGCAATGTAGACGTTAAAATTATCCTCGTCTCTGATGCCAACTTTCTTGTGAATGGTTCACATCAAAGTGAACCCAAAAGAGAGGGAGGTCGCTCAAATCCACTAAATGGTCATGTGGAGCGTAGTGGCCAGGAAAGTAAGCTTAAGGGAGGGGCAGCAGGTGACCACTCTAAGTTGTCACAAGAATTGCTTCCTCAAGCTGATGGCAGTGACATGAAGGAAACTGGGGCAGGGATACCAATGCAGAGAATAGAATCTATCATCCGGGAGCAGAGGCTAGAAACTGCATGGTTACAAACAGTAGAGAAAGGCGGTACGCCAGGGACTATAAGCCGGCTAAAACCTGAGAAGAATCAGGTGCTACCTCAAGAGGGGATATACCACCATCAAGAAAGTCACATGGAAACTTCAAAGTCAACAACGGGGTTGTCTCCTCATCAATGGGAAGATGAGTTGAATCAAGAACTGAAGGTTCTAAAGATGCAAGAACCAAAGGAGGTCTTGATAAAGGATCAGCTTGGTAGAAGGGCTGGCCACACTCCAATGTCACCTAGCATGCTGCATAATAATGACATCACCAACTTCTCGAACAAAGAAAGCTTGTGAGTCTTCTTCCACCCATTTTTTCTTCTAGCGGATTTTGTTGGTTCCTAGATGGATGCATTAATGTATTAGTACTAGTAGCATTACCTAAAGATCGGATCTTTTTGTTTTCTCGTTTTTTAGGTTCAGCGGGGGATATGAGTCGAGCACGGCAGGTGGAGGTTGCAGCGGGCTATTCTGTTGGAATGCACAAAAATCTCACAAGCGAAAGGTGGTAAAGGCTGCTTCTTTTTTCTTTGTTTTGTTCCCTATGTCTGGATTTTGTTTTCTGACGAATGATTGCTGCATGTCTTTGCTTGAAAAAACAGGAGAATGTTGCTACCGTGCGTTCTCGTCGAAGAGTTGGAGGTTTTTCATTGTTTGGTGAGTGTGGGAAGCAAAAGAAGAGTGAGAGCAGATTTCGAAGAAGGTAGCTCAGCTGGCAAAAATCTGCATGCACTTGTTGAAACTTGTGGGTCTGTTGTTTCTTCTGCATTTTAGATGGTATTCTTTTGCCCTCTATTTGTTTACGGGATATTTTTTTCACTCAACAAGCCAATATTCTTTCTTAGGATGCGACATTGCCCAGGAACAATAACAACAGAAATGTTTACTTCACTATGTAAAGAGGGTCCTCACTTTCGTTTTTGCTGCTACACACTCCCATTTTGGTCATGCTTTTTCCTCCGTTGATGAATAAGAGAATCAAGGTTGTAGATTTGGTCTTCATTCTCGGTTCTCATTTGAATAGTTCAAGTTTCATGAAGTATCATCAGTGCATAAATGATCGATCGTCTACATCCTGTTTATTTTCCTTTCCTAGTTAGGCCTCAAAAGAACAGTAGGCAAACAATCATTTGAAAAACTCAAGACTTCTCCACTGGAGCTCAATTCATGTTCAGAATCCTCTCGGCAAGCAGCATGTCATCCGGGGTTGTAACCTGCCATTCCCACTCAAAGTCGTCAGCAAGCAATAAGGCGAAAGCTTTTGTTTGAGTTGCTTCAACTATGATTTCACAGATTACCTTGATGTTAGTGTATGATCCTTCAGTGATGAAAACGGGATGTTTTAGATGCTCTACAATCGAAACGTCGTCCGTCACCTCTAGGCCTTCCCTGTGAAGAAAAAATGGGTCACTATCTCATTCTTGGTATTCATCACATTTGTGAACATCTAAACGAAACTTTCCTTAATGTGGGTGTCAATATATATACAGAACCAATTTGAAAAATGCATATTCTCACCTATTGACTAGCTCGAAGCCCTTCCTGAGCACTTCTGGCTTGATCACCTGTCCAGAAAAGTAATACCAGACTTTCTTGTAAGCACAGTGTGCCCACAACAGCTCTTCTCTCACACTTGGGTTTAGTGAAACATCTGCAATATTCACTATACCTGTGGTGTTTGCATCTCCCATAGTGTTTTGCGGTCAAGAGTTCGCACTACAAATGACTTGCCATCTGCCTGCATCAATGAAATTACCCAAGTAGAGGTTCATTGTTAAACTCATCAGTTTTCAGAAAGGGGGATATCTGATTCAAGATTGCAACCTTTAATATCTTTCGTCTATACTAAACTGTTCAGAGCAATATAGATTCAATTACCTCCTTAATGGTTGCTTTGAGAGGCACACCGAGCACTGCTGCTCCATTCACTGATGCATCCTTAATGACCTAAACCATATACCAGACATACAGGTTGGATTTGATGAAGTATAATTCGGCTTAATCCAAGAAATTCTTCTCTTACAGACTAGTTCCTGGTCACAGACCTTCCTTACATCAGCTGCCAACACCAGAGGTCTTGCAGAGTCATGGATGCAAACCAGCTCAGAGCTAAGGTCTATCTCCTGTTATTAGATAAGGCATGCTTGATCAACTACTAGCATTTCCTGGTTATATCATGAATCGCAACAAAATTTGAAGCATTTCTGATTCACCTGAAGACCACTGTAGACAGAATCCTGTCTTTCCTTCCCAGGCAGTGCAAATTTAAGGTCAATGTTGATCCTTTCTGTGGCATCTGAGAAAAGCCATCAGGCATGAGTCAGTTTCGACTAGTTAAGCAACGCCGAAGACAGCCACAGGGCAATCGACATGGTTAGACTACAAGCAAACAGAAATGCAGAGATAGCGAAAAACAGATGTGGAAACCTTCAAAGACGTCCCTGTAGGATGGATCACAAACCACAATGAGTTCCTTCACTTCAATCATCTGCGAGAAAGTGAAGAAACTGCCAAGAAGCAACACAAGATCATTTCTCCAGAGGCATATACAATTCAACTTGTTGTAGCAGTTTGAATTACAGAGTGTTAAGAGCAGTTTCCCAAGGTAAGGGTGAACTCCAATTTGCTGGCATGGCATAGTACTGCTAGGGCTGCAAATGAGCCAAGCCGCTCGCGAGCAACTCGGCGTTCGAATCGGAAAAAACTCGTTCGACACTCGACTCGTTATTTAACAAGCCGGCTCGCGAGCCAACTCGTTAGTTAACGAGCCAAGCCTGAGCTAGACCATGCTCAGCTTGATAAGCTCGCGAGCTAGCTTGATTCGGTGGCTTGTCGAGCTAAGCTCGCGAGCTGCCTTGTTTTGAGCTTGTGGAAGGATGAATTACTCTTTTAAACATGAACATTGTCTTATAATACAGATGTGTATGAAATTTAGATGTTATTTCTAGTTTCTAGTGTTCTTTCTATCATTTAAATTCTTATGTTTATACATTTTTCCAGCAAAAATGATTTTAAATCGAGCTCATCTTGAGCCGAGCTTGTACTCAGTTTAACAAGCTATGTTAATGAGCATTTATCGAGCTCTACCGAGTCGAGCTCGAGCTAGATTATTTTTATTCAAGCCGAGCTCGAGCTCGAGCTGGATTATCAAAATTCGAGTTCGAGCCGAGCTCGAGCTGAAAAATTAATAAACGAGCCGAGCTCAAGCTAAGCAAAAACTCGACTCGACTCGGCTCGTTTGCAGCCCTAAGTACTGCTACTCCCTAAGGTTCTTCCAAGAAATGTGATTTGGTTCTTGAAACATATCAATGCTATCCTCTAGATCTTTCTTTCCTCAGGATTGCAATACAATCAGCTATTATTTGCTTAATCAAGGAGAGATGGGCGATTCGTGTGTTACCTGTAGAGAGCAATTGGTTGGCCGAGAAGTGGGAGATACTGCTTTGGCATGCTCGCCTATTCTGGAAAAATGGAGAAATAAGTAACCAGTGATAATCAGAGAGGCAGGAGGGCAAGTTAAATAGATGAGTGGGGAAAACAATTCAATCGTACACCCATTCTTTTGCCCTGTCCTCCAGCTAACAGAACCACTGAAACACTCCGCTCTTTCACAGCTCCAGAGCCCTGCCCAAAGAGATCGAAGCATCAGAACTAGCCCACCATACAACTATCTTACAGAAAGCAAGCGAACTCAGCAAGGTGGGGGGGAAAAGCAAGTACATTTTCCTGGGCAACGGAGCATCTGATGGGGGAGAATCTGGGCTTCTGAATGGAATTGAGTTTGTGAACTGAAAAAGAGAGAAACAAACAAAACCTAAATGATCAATTAGGCAAAGAATGCAGGGAATTTGTAAGAGGGAAGAGAAAGAACGAGGTGAAAGTTTGGATTCACCTGGGTGGAAGGCAAGGGAGGAAGAGTTGGACAGAGAGGAAGAAGCAGCATTTGAGAGATTGGAAGGCAGAGAAAGGAATGTGGAGTGGGTAGTAGTAGCAGGTGCAGAAGAATGGTTGGAGGTGGTGTGATTGGGAAGAAGACGAAGTTGCAGAGTAATCGACATCTCTCTCTCTCTGTTGCTGCCACCCGGCTCTGTCTTCCTCGGCCTGTCTATCTATCAGTAATTCAGTATCCAAAACCTGAACTTTGCCTTTGTAAACTCACCAACCAACCACCGTCGTCTAAATAAGACTCCTCTGTTTCTCCCCTGCCGGCTCAATTTTTCAATAAAATATTCATACTCCAGATCAACGGAGGCACAATCGCCGGTCAACATTTGCCGCCTGACTGTACCACCAAATCCAATGGCTGCTCGCCTCTACATTTTGTTTCTGAAAGCACACAACTTTAATGGGCTTGAGGCCTAGCTCACATCATACTGGGCCGTAAACAGCATAGGCCCACGCGATGGGGCATTCCGCTGCTGTGATTGTGAAGTGGGGAGGATTCCAAATTTCCAGAGCCAGCACATTTGAGAGCAGGGAGACCGGAGAAATTGGGGAAGAGGGGACACACGGTAGTCAAATCGGAGAAGAAGATGGGAAAGCAGTTGGGACCGACCGGGGAATTCTTCCGGCGAAGGGATGAATGGAGGAAGCATCCCATGATGATCAAGCAGTTCCGCCACGCGACTCCTGGGCTCGGCATCGCGCTTGTCGCCTTCGGCATTTATCTCGTCGGCGAGCAAATCTACGATAGGGTTGGCACGCCTTCCTCGCACCACGGGTCGTCCTCTCATTGATCGGGGTTCTCGATGCTTGTATCTCTGAGGTTGGCTTTTCCTCTTTCTCCAGTCCAGGGATTGTTTTGAATTTTCGTGGCCACATTGGTTTCCAATTGGATTTACTTGGGGGTAGGGATTTTGCCTTCTTTTCAGTTTTGTCGAGTTGTTGCTTCGATTGCGTTCAGCGATCCAGGATAGTTATAGTTTCCTGTTCGAATTGAATCTTACTAGGAATTGGGTGTTCTTGAAGCTGCTATCTTGTGTGATTACGTTTCTGGTACCCAAATGCTGGATGAATCCTGTTGCAACTTAGGTGCTGCTGTCTGCAGTTCTAGCGCCTTTCTTTTCATTGGTATTGCACGATACGAATGTTATTTTCCTAGGCTCAGATATCTTTTGAGAGGGTTCCAAGAACTTGTCATGTTATGAACTTTGTAATAAGAGTTGCCCAAATGTTCCTTGCTGGTAACAAGTTGGCATAAAAACTTCGGACCAACCTAAGCAAAGAAAGGTGATCCCTTGACCCTTGCTGGACTGGGACTGATTAATCGGCTTACAATCTTAAAAAGAGAACTATAAAGACAGATTGTTCTGTCTTACTAAGTACTAAGCTAAGGAACCGAGCCCCAAATGTTGGTTATGGCGAATTATGTTAGTACAATAGTCCCCATCTTGGTCCTCGCTTCATCACGTTCCCGTCTTGTTCATTTGGGAGCTGGTGGCATTCTGCTCTCACCGGTCACCCCTTCTTTCGTCAAGGGCTTCGGTAGTTGTGTTATGAGCTTTTGTGGATAGTTGAGCTCCGCCCTCAAGTGAGTTGTTAGAGTTCGCTGGGAGTACTTCACCTTTTCCTCGAACTATAGCGAAGTAAAGAAGTTCATAGCAGGATGTATGTTATTGCTTTATGGTTGAGTAGGAGCCTATCTGTTTGGATTTTGGAAAGTTGTTTGTTCGCAAGAATGCATGTCCGTCTATGTTACTTAGCATAAACTTGAAAGGGAGCTCCTGTATCTATGGTGATTCATTGGTTTGATCCGTGTATTGGTTTGTGGCAGATGTTGAAGACGGGCGTGTTGGTAGGATTCCAAGTCAATGCCTGGGATGGCTACGTTTGTGGTTTTGGAATGTTGCCTGCACTTCGGTGAAATTAATAATTTGTTGTTTTGGGACTGATCTTTTCCCCCTTCTTTTGTATCCAAACGTTACAAGTTGTCCATGCAGATGTTTGGGCTTGCTGTACTGTTAGGGATGAAAGCTACAAAAGGATCATCTTCCCTTATGAATAAGAATGTAGTTCTCAACTCAACTCAACTCTATGTTTATCCTTCAGTTCTCTTTCAATCGGCCATATAACCTTTAAGCATGTTCTAGCCTCATGTCTGCTGGACCAGCCAAGTTCAGTTGGTGCATCTATTGCAGCAATCTGTTTGCCTTACTTTCAAGGTGCTTTAGCCTCTGTTTGGCTTCAAGTCTCTGTGCCTTTTGTGGTTACCTTTTAAATAGAAATGGAAGGTTAATAATTATGACTCAAGGGTTGTTACCAAAATCCATGTTCTGGCTCTTAAACATTTGATGGAAGGAACAACTCAGTAATCAAGATCGTTTGGTAGTTAACAGTAGCTAATTGTTAGGAGCACTTCTACTATGCTATATAGTATTTGTGCTTTAATGTACAACTTAAAGTTGTATCATAACATTAAATGTATAAGTTTAGGTTGTACCATAAAGCAATTTGTACCATTATGTTATGGTACAACTTTACAACTTGAAGTTGTACCATCACATAAAAGTACAAGTTCAAGTTGTACTATAAAAGAATTTGTACAAAAAGTATAGGTACAATCTGAAGTTGTACCATAACGTAAATGTACAATTTTAAGTTGTACTATAAAGGCAAAATCCTATAGCACCAATACTATATAGCATTGTAAAATTTCTCAATTGTTAGGGTTTCTTAGGTTGGCAATATAAGTTTTGTTCCTAATGTCGTAGTTACTAAGATGGAAAGTAGCAAGATTTTGAGCTTTTGAGATGGTCAGCCATTCACTTTTTGGGCAAATCCCCGGTAAACACAGGATTTGGCAACATCACATTGCATCTCTCAGTAACATGCTGAATCATCACAATACAATGCCAATCTTCATGTGGTCTGCATCTCTCAGTAAATAGTAAACCAGGCAAAAAAAAAAACCAATCTCGTCCTTCAAAAGGGAAAAGAGGCATAGCAGAGAGAGGCCTCTATCTCCGCATGACACGATTACGCTCACGCTTCTGGAAACGTTCTAACATGAACTGATCCGTTGCAGCTTCCCTGCGAGCTGCTGCTCCTCCTGCTTCTGGATTACTGCTATCTGCTGCAGGCTTAGGTACGCCGCCTGCACCACCATCACCATTCGTCTTCCCGTCCTTGTACAGTTCTGGATGTTCTGCATGTTTAATGTAGCAGGCCGATCAACAATCCCCAAACGAATACATACACCCGCATTGTGTTAGCAAGAATTCCAAAGAGGTCACACCCAATTGCAAATTCAGATTGCAACCATGGTATACAGCCACACCGGTTAGTCGGTTTTGGTCGTTTCATGAATGGTCAGCAACAAATGCCACAAGAGTAACTCTTAACTCATTCTTGAGTAAAAAGCAGAGAAATAGAGAATCGGAACAAACCTCTTCGAAGTTTCTCAGCATAATCCCTCCCACGCTGGAAATAATCTGCACTATAACTAGATGGGATATTAAGGTCAGAAGTTTTGGTCCGACCCATTAACCTCTTTTCCTGTAACAGCTTCTTTGCCGCCTCAGTTTCTTCGATGTTCTTCAACTTGTATCTACAAACAGCGAGAAATAGAGAAATCAGTGAACAATAGCAGCACAGGTGTACTGCACAGACTCCAAAATTCTTCTGCTTCTGAAAGAAGCTCGTACTATCAGGCAAGGCAATGCTGTAAGTCTGTAACACTACATGCTGATGCTGGCAAATGCACATCTGCCTTTCCAGGGCCCCCCAGCGAAGCCAAAACCAAACAACAATGTGACATCCATTCAAAGAAAATTGCAGCTACAAGTTTAACCACACAAATCGGGGGAAGTGACTGAGGGGGAAAATGCATACTCGATAGGCAACTGAATTTTCTGCAATTCTTGTAGTCCATTGGGTAGAGCTCTCTTCTGAGTTACGCCTTTTAACCTGACAAGCCATTCAAGGAGATGTTCAAAAGTCATGACGAGTAAAACAACGTCATCTAGAGGAGAAAACGGAAACAAATGTCTGTAAAACATGTACCACCATATCTTCCACAACCACGTGAAAGGAAAAAACAGAAGGTCGCAACTCATCCAAGAACTCACTTGAAAGATGCTCAGGGACTTTGTACAATTCATCCTCAGCACGAGTTAATTCATTCTCAACTTGACCATCCAAGTCCAGGTTCTTGCCTCTCTTCTTAGCTAATTCCTGCTCAACATACTTCAACCTGTTAATCAATCAAAACAAAAAGGTCGTTCTTTATTATAACACCCTTTTGTTCAAGGAATCCCCCGAGGCAACAGAATGAAAAAAAACCCAGCAATACGAGCTCTCTTGAAAATGAAGCGATGATCATTTAATTTGAAGCAGAAACGACAATTTTTAGTCTGCTCAGTTGCATTGCCATAGCCAATAATCAAAGAGTGAGTAAGGGGCATTGATCTATTAAATGGTCGGCAAAGGGCTAAACAATGAGCAAAGGAGTTTCCCTGGCTGATTACAGGAAAGGATTTCAGGGAGCAGTGGTAGTTCATGGATTTTACTAATACTCAGAAACCTAAGCAAGAACTCATGACTTCAGGTAAGCGTAATGAAGCAAAAACATAGTCTTCTGAACTGAATCTTGAGAGGGAAGTAAGCCAAAGCAGCAACAGGATGGTAGAAGAGAAAGAAACAGAAAGTTACATGTTAGGATCTTCGACCATGACTGCAATTTCTTGAGCAAAGGTGTCTTGAAGGACGAGCTCCTCCTTTTCCCCCTCTCCTGCAGTGGCGCCACCACCGCCAGCTGCCGCCGCCACAGCATCGTTCTTGTCAGTTAGTTTCTTGGCCAGTGATGACCCAGATTGTGAAGCGGGAAGTGCAGGGATTCCGAATTTCCTCTCCCGCTGTTTCTGAAGGAATTTGACCTCTTCTAATGCCAATATGCACCAGGAAGGAGAGAGCAGGAGGTTGCCACATAAGGCAAGAACCCTAATTGACAGGCGGAAGGAGGAAAAATTAGGGGGGAAAGAGCAAATACCTGCGTTCTTCTTCGTCGTCTGATAAGCTGGAGTTGGGATAGTTAGGTTGCCGGTCTCCGGATTCGTCATTTCTGGGAAAGTCCTCTTCCTGAAGTTCTTCTTCTTATTGCTCTGCATCTTTACGGTAAACGGAAGCGCAATGAACACCGTCGGAATGGGATTCGGCTACCGGATTCAGCGTTTCCGACCGGCTGTGTGTCTGTCTGTCTGTGTCTGTCGACTGTCGAGTGGCCGCACCCCGAGGGAGATTGACGGGATAGAAAGTTCCCAACGGGTCACCAAACTTTTCTAACTTTCGCATAAGACCATTTAAGTAATGTAACTCATTTTAAGACCAAATATGATGGATAGGATCCGGTACTTAAGCCATTATATTAGATAGAGGATAAATAAGATATCATGCATATATAATTAATATTAATAATTGATTATTCTCTTTCTCTCTCCTTCCATAACTTTCTCCATAACTCTCTCTTTTCACTACAATTAAAATGAAACCCGAAATTAATTTAATTATATCTTAATAATTAATAAAATTCGAACTTAATAATTTTTTCCCTTTTCAAAATAGAAATTAAAATCTGCTCTCTCACTTCGTGACAACTTGCAATGTAGTATTAACGTTTTGCAATGACATTATCAACGTTTATAAAATAAATCATTATTACTATACCTTATGATTATTAACGATTTCAATATAAGTATCAATTCTTTGCAGTTATATTATTAACAATTTTCAATCAATCGTTACCATTTTACATTTTCATCATCAACGTTTATGAATGAATCATTGATTTACAACATATTTACTAATGATTCACAACATTATCATTATTGATACTATTAGTAATGAGCTCCCAAAGGCGACTCAGTCATTTCGACAAACAAACAACAACTGATATCCTGATACATCAAACGTCGACAGTGTTCACTATTAACAGTACATGACAAAATTGTAAATATTTTAGGTCAATTGTTAAATATTTTGAAACTATTAGTAATTATATACTTTCATATTGTTAACGTTTTGATGAGGGTTGCTTAACGTTTTTAACGTAAACATGACGTTCCCATTCCAAAAATTTCATTGAAAATGAAAATTATAAATGTTTTAGGTAAAATTTTAAAGATTTTGATACTATTAGTAATCAGGGGCGGAGGCAGCTTGTTAGGAGGGGGTGTCTTGGCACACCCTTGCCTTGTGAGAATAAAGTTTAGAGTATATTAAATTATTTATAATGAAACCTTGTACATGGAACCACATTTTTATCGTCACAATATCACTAGTTGAACTTATTGTGGTAGCATTTAACTATGCTTCCCTTTTAAATTCCAATCAAAACTTTTCCTCTTAAACATGGTCGTTAAGTCGCTAAGGCAAAGAAGTTGTGACCAGGAAAAAAAAAAATAATGATAGAAGCTCTGTCCTCTCTCCTCGGAGGTTGGACGCAGGTCGTCCTTCTTCCTCTTGGCCGATTCTGCCGATCAGCAGGTCAGATCCTTCTTATCTTCTTGGCCGCGGTTCTGGAGGCCTCCCTGAACAACCAGCATTCCTCGGAAATTCGAGGAAACCAAAGTGCCAATGGTGGTAACCTCAAAGAGGCCACCGCTTCAAAATTGATCTTTCGTCTGACGCGGCAGGGCGACGAGGCGCGCTGTAGCCCGGGCACTAACAACAGAAGCCGGAAGCGCAAATTAGTCTCTCCCCTGACCTTTGTCTGTAGTACGAATGGCCGCTTGCCCAAGAGGGGACGTCTCGCAGATCGTCCGGGATGGCGGTTTCGCCTTCCTACTCCGGTTGAACTGGAGGTTGAAGAGGAAGTGTTGAGGAAACCCAGCAAGGAAAATGAGGATGTTGGCCCCAGTAATGTATCGGAGCCTAAAACCCGTATTGAGGTGAGGGCGTCCACCCAACAGCCGGCAGGGTGCTGCGGCCCGGCGGTTGTCGTGATCGGCAAATCTGATCAGGGGGTTTTACACCAATACCTGATTATAGAAGTTACTGTGGCAGAGACGAGATGTCCCGCTCAGATTATTGACAGTGTTGGCCACTGTAGTGCGACGGTTCCTAAACCTCAAAATTATGTGGGATCGTCCACAAAGAAGCCTGGAAGTGTGTTGGCCGGCAAAATTACCCTAGTCCGGCCGACGAGCTTGTTTATGTCGAATCCGGTCGGCAGCGGCCGGCCGGTGAGGGTAACTGCTTTGGGGGTTTTTAACCAACCCCGGATCCCTCGGAGAGGGGCTGATTATCACGATTCTCAGCGTATCCCCCGGAGTTGGGATCTTTTTCAAAAATTATTTCTCGATAAGGATGGCTTCAAAGACCCACCCCCGGTAGGACTCCCCAAACCGTTGAATCAACGCGGTTCTCCAGCCTATTTAAATTGTGACCCTGTTCCAGCTCCCATTATTCGCATTACTGATTGTGGGGGATCTCTGGAGGTTCACTTAAGCTTGGCGACTCAGCTCCCTAAGCACCTACCTGGTACGTGGGTCTCCTCTTCCCTCAAAGCCTCGTTCGAGATTAATAGGGAATTCTTCCCGCTTTATCACTTTGCACCCCCGATTCCCACCTCCCTGTCTTCCCCTGTTTGCTCCCTTTCTGATAGTTTGTTGGCCCTGCAGCTCTCCACCATGGTTCATGCTGCTAGTGATCAAGTTGTGGCCTTCTCGCTTGAGGAGGTTCAGTCCGACCGAACCCGTTGTGCCAAAACGCTCCTGGGCCGCCTGTTCACTGATCACAACACAACCCTCACGGAGCTGCGGGACTCGATCAACACTCCATGGCAAGCTCGGGGTCGTGTTATTGTTCGTTTGGCTGCTCACGGACTATTTGAGTTCGTGTTCCCAAACCAAACGGCTCGGAATTGGGTTCTCCAAAGGACCCCGTGGGTGGTGGATGATAAAGTGCTTCATCTATGTGCTTGGACCCCGTCCATCACGAGGCGGACTTTCGACGAGCTAGCTTTTGTCCCGTTCCGAGTTCAGCTGTGGGACGTTCAGGACGATTGCTGCACGCAGCAGTTCGGGCGTAAAGTTGCGGCCGCCACGCTAGGGAGGGTCCTGGAAACTGGAGTCTTTTTGTGCACGGATTCGAGGAGAAAGTTTGTTAAGGTGAAGGCTGTTTTGGATTTCTCCAAACCTCTTCGTTCCCAGGTGCTGGCCTCAAATGAGGAGATCGGGGAGTTCTGGATTCGCTTTAAATACGAATTCCTCCCAACTTTGTGCTATCATTGTGGCCGCCTTGGGCATTCTCGACCGGATTGCTCTTTTGATCCGCCTTCGAGGACAGAGCGCTTTGGTAACCACATGACAACAAAGAAAATGGGGAAAAAGCTGCGTGAAGATGGGGAAGATGATCAGTTTTTCCCCCATCAGCCAGCATCGGTTTGGAAACAAGGTTGTGAGGGATAACCCGGTGACCGCACCTCGGGGGGCTCTTGACTCCAAACGAGAGGGCTCTCATGCGAAACAAGTTGCTGTAGAAGAGAGCCCACTTTGGATGGGCACATCGAAAAACCCCTTCCAATCCGTTGAACCACAACATCAAAGGGAGAAGGGCCAGTTTCGGATTTCTGTGTCGAAATCCCCTAGAATCTCCCTGGGCAATCTTGGCCGCCGTGGGCAGCAGCGGAAATTAGCTGTGGATGACACTGGGCTGCAGACTCAGGGTGCTACTGGCCCTAGGCTGGCTCGAGCTATGGGAAAGAAGCCTCCGGGGAGCCGGGATGCTAGGGTCGCTATGCAGGAGAATGAGCCGGTCATCGCGCAGCAGGGGGAGAAGAAACATGTGGCCCTGCCGGAGGTGAGCATGGAGGAGCAAATTACCTCCCGTCGCCGCCGCCTTCTCCTGGAAGAGGAATCGGAAGAGGAGTTCGTGTTGCACGATGTTCCAGAACCAAAGCCTGTTCGCCAAGCCGCGATTCCTGTTGCCATCCGCGCCGTTTCCTCTAAGAGGAGAAGTGGGCAGGCCATGGGAGATCCTTCCCCGAAGAAAAAAAGTGTTGCTAAGAAGAGGTCTGGCACGATGAAGGGCGCCCCTTTGGCTGCGGCCCGCGGTTCGAAAACCCAGTCCAAGAAGCAGGCTTTGGCCCAGGAAGAGCGGGATGCTGAAGTGGTGGCGGACGAGTTATTGGATGGGGAGTTGGTGGGCATGGCCTCGGCCAGGAATAACTCAGTTGGGCCGAAAGTCCAATTGGACAATCCTGCTATGGTGGAGTCGGAGGAAGAGTCAATGGAGGGTGAGGCGATGGGCTTCGAAGTTCGTCGCCGTGAACCAGTGCTGCAAAAGAAATTTAAGCGGCTGCACCAACCAAATCGTGTGCGCCAAGTTGTTGAGGCGCTCGAAAATGGGCTGTCCATGACCGATTCCGTAACCGACCCGGGACTGGTCCAACCAATCGGCTCTCTGGCCACAAATGATGAGGAGCAAGGGATGAATGGCAAAACGGCGAACCCTGAGAACCTTGGGTTCAATGAATATGGGTCCAACCTGTCGGACCCAGGGTTGGGGAGCAAAAAACGTCATGTTGACGAGATGGAGGGGGCGACTGCGGAGAACCCTACCCCAAAGAAGCAGTTCGTGGAAGAGAACGTGGAACCTGATTCGGTGGAGGAAGCCAGCCGTGAATGGCCCCAACCGGATAAATGAGGCTTCTCGCCTGGAATGTGAGGGGCATTGGACCTCCCCTCACATTCCAATCTGCTGTTAGTTTACTGCATTCAAATAAACCGGACCTGGTGTTCTTTTCGGAGACACGTTCGTGCCGGAGAGTAGTTTCCCGTCGTATGCGGGGTTTAGGTTTTGCTCATTCTCGTTGTTTTTTTGTTGATGCGATTGATGCATCTGGTGGGTTAGTAGCGGCTTGGTCCCCCGGGGTTGACGCTTCGGTGTTATTTCATTCTGATTTTTGTATTTGTGTTCAAGTTAATGAAACAATTGTTTCCTATGTGGTGGTGTTTGTCTACATTAGTTGTAATCTTGCGATCCGAGCTTCCCAGCTGATTCAGCTTCGTGATATGTGCGCAAACATTCAACTCCCTTTCGTGGTAATTGGTGATTTTAACACGACTCTCCATGAGAGTGAGAAGGATGGTGGGCTTCCTTGGAATGCCGCCCAAGCTATTAGTCTTCGGGACTTTATTCAGGATCTAGGGTTGCATGACCCTGGCTACCAGGGTGACCTTTTTACTTGGACTAATAAGCGAATGGGCCCCGCGTGCATTCGTGCGAGATTAGACAGATCCTTGTGCTCTCAGTCTTGGATTGACCTTTTCCCTGATACTATTCTCAAACATTTCACGGATCAGGGATCAGATCATAGAGCTTTGATTCTCTCTGACAAGATCTATGCCAGAGCTAGTCGCCCCCTGTTCCGTTTTGATGCCCGTTGGGCCGATAATCCTGAGGTCAGGGCAATGGTCAATTATGTTTGGTAGGAAGAGGTGCATGGTTCTCCCATGTTTTGCCTCTGGGAACGCCTTAAGAAGCTCCGTCACCTGCTATATGACTGGAGCCGAGCTGGTACGACGAACTCCTTGCGCAACATCAAGACTCTTCAATCTGAGATTGATAGAATTAAGTCATGTCTCCCTATTGATTGGGAAGAGGTTCAACGTTTGGAGGTCGAGTTAAGTAGACAATGGGAAGCGGAAGAGGTTTATTGGCAACAGAAGTCCCGGGTGAGATGGCTGAAGAGAGGTGATAAGAATACTTCGTATTTCCATACGGTCACTCGGGTTCGACGGAAGAGAAACTTTGTGGCTGGGCTACGAAAGGAGGAAGGGGAGTGGGTCACGGAAGAACGCGAGAAGGCTGCGATGGCTGATACATTCTATCAGACTTTATTTACCTCTGAAAACCAGGTCCTTAATATGTCTGAAAGAGTGGCGGCTCTGCCTATTACTCGTAGTGTTACCCCTGAAATGAATGATCTGCTGACTGCTGAAGTACTCCCTGCGGAAGTTCGCAGCACAGTCTTTTCTATGGGCTCAAAGCAGGCGCCCGGATCCGATGGATTTACTGGGAAGTTCTTTAAAGCTTTTTGGGATATTGTGGGCGATTCTGTTACTGAGGCGGTTTGCTCGTTCTTTGCGACTGGTCGCATGCTCCGCAGCTTTAATCATACTTGGCTCACCTTGATTCCCAAAGTCGATAATGTGGAGACTATGCGCCAGCTCCGCCCGATCAGTTTATGCCAGTTTGTCTATAAGATCATAACCAAAATCATGGCAGGGAGACTCGCTACGATGCTTCCCCAGATCATCTCGGAGGGGCAAAATGCCTTCATTCGGGAACGCCAGATCATTGATAATGTTCTTCTCGGGCATGAGTTGATGCATTACCTAAAAATCAAAACTCGAGGTAAGAAAGGCTACATGGCTCTAAAGGTTGACATGGAAAAGGCCTATGATAGAGTTGAGTGGGCCTTTCTTCTTGGCGTTTTGGATAAAATGGGATTCAGCTCTGTCTGGAGAGATTGGATCCATGAATGTCTCAGATCTTCGTCGTTTACTATTCTTATGAATGGGAACCCCTCTGGTTATTTTTCTCCGACTAGAGGACTCCGCCAGGGCGACCCCCTATCCCCTTTGCTTTTTGTTATCTGCACTGAGGGTTTTGCGGCTCTGCTTCGGCAAGCAATTTCTGAGAAGCGGCTGGAAGGAGTTAAGGTTGCCCCTCGGGCTCCCAGGATCTCTCACCTCTTCTTTGCTGATGACTCCTACTTATTCCTTCGGGGCACTCTTCAGGAATGTGAGAACCTGATAACAGTCTTGAATGAATATGAGGAACTCAGTGGCCAGAGGGTAAATCTGGGAAAGTCAGCAGTTTGCTTTAGTAAGAACGTTTCGTTGCCTGATCAAGAGTTCCTGGCACAGATTTTGGGGGTTGGGGCGGTCGGAGTGCATGATAAGTATTTAGGATTGCCCACCCTCATAGCTCGATCAAAGATGGCTACCTTTCGGTACCTGGAGGAGAAACTGCTGGAACGGCTTCAGGGGTGGAAGCAGCGCACGCTTTCTTGGGCGGCTAAAGAGACTTTGATTAAATCAATAGCGCTAGCTTTACCTCTACACGTCATGTCCTGTTTCAGGCTCCCTCTTTCCCTGTGTCGTCTTCTTGACAAACATGTGGCGCGTTTCTGGTGGGGTGATGAGGAAGGGCATTCTCGAATTCGGTGGGTCTCTTGGCGTAACATGTGCAGAAGTAAGCACGAAGGGGGTATGGGCTTTCGCCGATTTGAGCAGTTTAATCAGGCCCTCTTAGCGAAAATTGGTTGGCGTATCCTTACTGAACCGGATTCGTTGTTAGCTCAGGTGTACAAAGGGAAGTATTTTCCGAACTCCTCCTTTCGCTCGGCTACGGCTAGATCACGTCCGTCTTGGGGATGGCAAGGTGTCCTTTATGGTCGTCAGCTGCTAGAGAAGGGGTTACGTTGGCAGATAGGGAATGGGCAAGCTGCTTCTCTCCTCCACTCTAATTGGATTCCGCGGGTGCACCCCTGGCCGGTGCAGTTTAACCCCCGGGTGCTGCCGGAAGGTGGGGACCCGACTGTGTCTGAAATAATCAGTCTGGAGGGCGGGTGCTGGGCAGAGGAGAAACTTACTCAGTGGTTTGACCCGGATACGTGTGATGCAATCAGAGCTATACCCCTGCCGCGGCAGAATTTAGAGGATAGATTGATCTGGCATGCCACGACTGATGGGGTATTCACTGTGAAGTCTGCCTATCATTTAGCAGTTTCAATCGAGAGAAGTACTGGTCGGTGGCGCCAATTGGCAGGATGGATGGACAAACCTAGCTGGATTCGCTTGTGGGAGGCTAATATCCCTCCTAAGTTAAAGGTCTTCTGCTGGCAAATCTTTAATAGAATCCTCCCAACCACTGAAGCTCTTCGGGAGAAAGGAGTGGAGGTTCTCCCTCGGTGCCCGGTTTGCTGGGCGGAATCTGAAACCATGGAACATTTGTTTCTGGAGTGTCCAGTGGCGCGTGCCCTTTGGGATTTATCGGGTTTGGAATATCTTGGCCAAGGGTTGCCTCGGCATACGTTTCCCTTTCTCCTCAAGCGATTGATGGCGTTAGTGCACCAGGCCCCTCTGTTTATGAAAGTTGTGGCTGTTCTTTGGAGGATTTGGCGATCTAGGAACTGGGTAGTCTTTGAGGGCAAACAGTTTGGGATCCCGGCCTTGATGCGACAATTTAACCAACAATTTGAGGAATGGGTTAGCCTGCCTATCGATCGCCCCCAGACGCTGTTGGCTCCTCTCCCAGGACCTCAGTCGTTGGTCTCCACTGGGCAAGCCTCGTGTAGATGGGATGGGGCGACGAGGTCTGGTTCTCATTCGGCGGGTGGGATGGTGTTGGTGGATACTAATGGGGATCCGGTCTTGGCTGCAGGATTTCAGATCCCTCATATTGATAGTCCTCCGGTTGTCGAGTTGTTGGTTCTTCGTGAGGCCATTAGGTGGTGCCTCAGCTTGGGCTTTACAGAGGTACAGTTTGAAGGCGACGCCAAAGTCATTATTGATAAACTTAATAGGGCGGATGCAGGTGATAGCCAGATGGGAGCAATTCTGCAAGAAGTTGTAAATCTTTTAGCTGTCCACTCTGGTTTTTGTGTACGGTTTATAGGTCGGAGTAACAATAGGGTAGCCCATTTGGTGGCTAGGAAAGCCCTGTCTTTGTACCCGGCTACTTGCCGTTTCTTTGATTTTCAGGCCTGGCTGTCTTCCAGGATGTAACTATCTTTGTTTGATCTAATAGATTATCTTTTGTCAAAAAAAAAAAAAAAAAAAAAGTCGCTCGACTCTACCTTTCCATTCAATCGACTTTCATCGGCTATTCATGAGCACTAGAGAGTCTTTAGTCTTTACCGTAACCCGCCAGGGGTCGTTTGGTTTTGGTGATAGTCAGGGGCGGAGGGAACGTGTTAACGGGTGGGTCCCGGGACCCACCCTGGATCGGGAGCAAAAATGTTAAATTAAGTATAATAGTTAATCGGGTATGAAAAATAACACGTATTAAATGAGAATGGTTGAACTTTTAGATGTATGATGTTTGATTTATAAGTTGTGTATCGGCATGCTCAATATTTTTATAACGAGCTTTCTACAAATGGCAATGGTGCATATGATCTGCCCAAAATTAAAGATGTACTTATTCAATATCTACCACATATTTCCACCAAATCATAGCTAGTTTGTAAAAATAATTTTATTTCAATTAGGGGTAGTAAGAGTGTAACGGGTGGCTCATAAGAAAAGAGTAAATTAGTATAATAGTTCGTTGAGAATGAAATTTAGCCATTTAGGGCATTTCTAATTGAAAATGGTTGACCGAGAGATCATGTGTTCGAATCTTAACGACCCCATTGGTTGAGCACTTGATATTCAAATTTGCAAAAACTTTAACCACGTATAAATTGGTTTTTGGTTTTTGTTAGTAGGAAGTGTTAGTAAATATTAAATAATTTAAGATTCATAATTAAATCTTTCCCAACAACTCGAGTTGTTGATACTAAACGGTCTTGACAAAGAGCACCATTCAAAAGCAAATATCTAACTAAATTATGATTTATGAATATTTTTTTTGGTAATTAATTATGAATAATTTTTGATACATACAGAGTGATATTTTTTATAGTCATATATTTAATTTACCAATTTTTTTTAAATAAATAATTATATCATGAATGATTTAATTATTTAACAAAATTATTTTATCATATATATATATTTTTTTCTAAATGGACCCACCCTCCATAAAATCCTGGCTACGCCCCTGGTGATAGTTAAATAGATGGATTGTCATCAATGCATGTATAATAATATACATGTATATATGAAAATTGGTGTATTGTAGATTACATCGTTTGGTTTTTGTGATAGTTATTGTGTTATTTAAATAAGTTATATTACTTTTTGGGTGAAATGTCACTTTCACCCTTTGGTTGTAATATACAAAGGCAAGACACATAAAAAGGTAGGGACATAGTTGGAAGAAAAAAACACACAACAATCTCAACCAAACAATCTCACCGAAAACTTGAGATTTAACTATCACTCATTTTGAGTGATAGTTTGTGTCAAATCAAGCAAACAATGCATCTATTGTTTGTGCAGAAAATTCAAAAAAACAAAGCATTATGAACAATACATGTATTGTAACTATCTCAACCAAACAATAACCAATACCAAACGACCCCAAAATTATGAAGCACTAATCGATAAGATATATTGACAATAAGGTCTTTGATAGTTTAGATGAAAAATATATAATTTACAAGTTTTATTAAAGTAGAAAAATGTTGTGAGCCATTGTAAAAATTTATAGTTTCTCATATTAAATATACTTTAACAACATTTTGGTGGGAATTGCTTAACGTTTTTAACGTGAAAGTGAAATTGTAAGTTGTAACTAACTAGTTGATATCATTTAATCGCCAAAACAACTACGTGGTCCCTATAGAACTGGGTCTTTACTCTTTAGAATACTTTTGGGGTTTGGGGTTTGGACTTTGGACCAAATTTGGTCCAGTTTCAGCCCAAAAGTTGACATCTATCTATTCCTATTCCTTTAGTACATGGGCTTCCTTTTTCCTTCCGTATGACCAAAAAAAAAACATAGGTTTCTTTTTGCAGCAGCCACAGTACATGAAGGAACAGAGGATTTTTTCACATCTCTTCCGACTCCGGGATTCTCCGTTTCTCCTCCGTCGCCGACGATATCGTTTCTTTCAATCCGTCTCTCTACGGCATGACGATCGAGAGCTACATATCGGATTGGAATCTGCCGCGAGCCGAACTCCGTCGCTGTCCCGGGAAAGGACAGCGAAGCAGTTCAGAAGCAAACCTCCCTCCTACGATGATCGGCGAACTCGGAAGCGATCTCCTAGAAGAGATCCTGATTCGCCTCCCCGACCCAAGATCCACCAGCCGGTGCAAACTCGTCTGCAAGCGGTGGGGCTCCATGATCTCCAGTCCGCGCTTCAACCGCCGATTCGTTTCTCACCACCAGGCAAGGAATCCGAGCCACCCACCCATGCCGGCCGATCCATACGAACTGGTAGAAATCATCCTGAGCTTTCTCCCTCCCGTGCCTGGTAGAGTTCGACACTATCTTAGAGTGTTAGATTGCAACAAGGACTTGGTTTTATGTGGGTTCTGGGATTTAGATTGCGACGATGGGGAACTTAGTAGATTGTACTTGGTTTGCAATCCATTCACAAAGCAGTGGATCGCTCTTCCTTTAGCGCCTAGCAAGCAGTTGCATTATAAGTCAGCGGCTGCAAGGTTAGTTTGTGAACCCCGGATTAAGCTTGATCTAGGAGATGGCCAAGCATCTTTTGATTTTGGTTGTCGCTTCAGGGTGGCGTGTATTTATCAAGTCATGCGACCAAGCAAGGCTGTAAAGCTCGACGTGTTTTGTTCGGAGTCTGGTGAATGGATCAAGGAAGCTCTCGTCTGCCCTGATCATTTTGGAACTATATTAAGAACGATTTCGTGCAACGGGGAGATGTTCTGGCAGTGCATTGTTGCGCATGGCGGGCCTAGTGTTATGGTGGCTGCTTGTAATCCTTTTCGCCTTGATCTGCCTCCCACTTTGATTGATGCTTCTGCATTCCTTGAGAAACCACGTTGGTATATTTCCGGCTCGCAAGGTGTGTTGCACGTAATTGCAATTGAAATTGAAGACCGCACTACTCTAGCTGTTCGTTCAAGCATCTGGAGGCTGGAGGACAACCGTAAATCTTGGACGAAACAATGTGAGTGGTTGGTCAACAAGAGAGCAAAGTGTCGTGACTATGGAGCTTACGGCTGTTATCAAGCTTCACTGCATCCTCATAACCCAGAAATTGTTTTCTTCAAGCCATTTCATTTTTATGATGTCAATGTTATATTGTGCTGCAATTTGAGAAGGGAAGAGCTAGAGTTCATTGCTGAAGTAGATGGGTCGGATAATGTCTGTCGCCTTCAGGTGTTCGAGCCAAGGTCTTCTTGCTGGGCTACTCCAATTCCAAGGTATGAGAAGTTGCAAGGCATGCACGATATAAGCTACGACTTTTGGGTTCAGATCAGCAGGGAAGCAAAAACTCCCTCCCTCCCTCCCTTCACCAATAAATAGTAAGTGCTTCTTCCTGTAAAACTTTACCATCTTTTCTGTTTTTTTCGCTTGTCTGTCAAGTTTAAGAATTTACTAATGAGAAGAAAGTCAGAAAGAAAGTTTTCCTGGAGGAAAAGACATCCAGCTGCAACCTCTTGTCCCGTCACAGGCTAAGGGTTGCAGTTTTTGGGCGTGCTAACCAGATAATTACACATTAAGTAGCAAATGCTTGCATCTTTTGCCGACTGTTCCGCCATTTTTTTTGCCTGCAAACTTGGTGCCTGCTCTGAACTTCAACAGATTTGTTGATGATAAGATACACATGGCCGTTGTATGCGTTTTCTCTCATTCTCTTTCTATTGTCTTGTGTCTGCTGCTCCTATAGTTCATCTCATTTCTGTTGTGGCTGGTTTAATTTCTCCAACAGGTAGTTGTCTCTTCATTTTCCTGCCTTGATGTTGGTAATCAGTTGATTAGTTTGTTTCCAGACCTAATGCTATGTGTTTGGTTTCTTTTCAGCATGAAGGAGATTATGAAAGCATCCTTACCTTCTACTGTCTCCAACATACATAAATTGCACAGAACAACCTCAGCTCCCTCCCAAGAACTCAATCTGGATAGAAGAACAAAGGCAACGGCAGCTTTGGAGGTGCAATGGCAATATTTGGACCTTCGCAAAAATCAACGAGCAAAATAATTATGAAGACATAGCGAAGCATTCGAACACTTGAAGGCTATATAAGTATCCCCTAACATGGACCATCATTGGAAGGTTACTGAAATGGGTTGACTAATCAATTTCTTTCTCTCTGGTGCCAGGGATTCCACAGTGTTAAGCAATTGGGCTATGTTTATCACTTATCTGTTAGTATTCTCTACTTTTTCTAATGACTATTTATTAATCAAACCTTATCGCTTTTTTATTAGCCAAACTTATTGAATTACTAATAATTAGCTAAAACTAAACTTTGTTAGTAATATTGATTTGGCAACATAATACGGACTTTGAAGAGACACATGGGTCAACCTTCCAAAACTTTAGTATTTTAATTAAGAAAAGACTAAGAAAATTATTAAAAATACCAAAAAATGGCTAATATCTTGATGTATTACAAAAGATTTGGCTAATGATTAGTAATTTAATAAATTTGGTTAATAAAAATTGTGAAATAAGTTTGGCTAATAAATAGTCACTATTTTATTTTCGTTAAATTATTTAGGGTTCATCCATTGAAGGAGATTGTCTCGGATAACCTTTGTATCTTTGAAACTAGGGGTGGCATTTCGGTTATTTCGGTTATAACTAATAACCGATCAGCCAGTGATCGGTTAACCGAAATAACCACTCCCCCTACCGAAAACCATCTGAAATAGGCTTCGGTTATCTTAGTTATCGGTTAACCGACCCACTTTTAGGACCAAAACCATTTCGTCTAGCCTCCGATAACCAACCGAAGTTCGGTTACTTCGGTTACCGGTTAGTGGATAATCGGCTGGTTATCGATTTAACCGGCCGGTTAACCGGTAACCGGTAACCGAACTGCCACCCCTATTTGAAACAAGTTTTCAAGCATCATACACATATATATTTCATGCACTCACTTTTTGAGTGTATTTTATGCACCTTACTCATAATATATTTGGATAATTCTGAAAATCAAAATTCAAAATTTGATATCCTAAGGCTAGATTTTGAGTTTGATGACCTATTTTGGAGTGTGCATCAAAGAAGTCATCATGATGATTTTGTCTCTGGTGCACCGTGCACTCAGTTTTTTTCATAGGGAGATATATCTACCTAGATCTTGAGTTAAATTGAATTTGGTGTATGTATTAAATCCTAAACTTCTAATGGATAAACCTCATGCCCCAATTCTCTAACCCAAACCCGAAATTCAATTTAATAGAAAATTATAACTGACCATTGAGATTGATCAAACTTCATCGAAGTATAGTTAACGACAATATCACCTGGAGTATACTACTCCTGAAATATAACATTTTTTTTTATCAAATATACATATATGGCAAAGACTAGTGGGATTTTTCCAGAAATAGCACATTTTAAAAAAAATTACAAAAATAGCATCCAGCCGAAAAAATTTACACTAATAGCACCCTTTTTTATGGACCACACTTTAGAGGTGCGTTTTTATATATAAACCGCACCTCTAAGGTGCGGTTTATAATCCTGGACCAAAACCGCATCTACAAGATGCGGTTTCAGGTTTGCCCTACAGAAAACGCGCGGCCAAGGTGCGGTTTTGCATAAAAAACCGCACCCCCAAGGTGCGGTTTTGGTCAATTATTTTCCGACATGCCATGCAGAATAACAGACGTGGGTTTGCATAACATGACTTGCTGACATTGCAAGTCGTTATATGGTTATATGATTAACTATAAGAAGGCGTGGCATGGAAAGCAGAAAGCTCTGGCCGCGGTATATGGTGATTGGGAAGAATCATATGCATTCCTTCCCAGGTTAATTTTGGCATTGGTGGCGTCTAACCCTGACACAGTTTTCTCCCCTCGATACCAAGATGAAGAGATACAACCCCCAGAGCCAGGTAACAAATGCCATTTTAGACGACTTTTTTGGGCATTCAAGCCATCTATTGATGGTTTTGGCTTCTGTGTCCCTGTGATCCAAGTGAATGGTACATTCTTTACCGGCAAGTACAAGGGCACTCTCCTGATTGCAGTGGGGCGGATGCAAACAGACAAGTCTTTCCTTTAGCCTTCGCCATTGTTGAGAGAGAGAATGCTGATAGTTATGGATGGTTTTTCCGGCAAATTCAGCTCCACGTCACTAGGAGGACGAACATGACAATAATCTATGATCGGCACGCCGGCATTAGAGCTGCCATCTTAGGTTTAGATCCAGCCTAGAAGTGGTCCCAAAGGTGGTGCATACTACACTTCAAGAGCAACTGGAATCATCATTTCAAGCGGAAGAAGCTTGCTGATAATTTGTGGTGGATTGGTAAGTTCTCTATTAGCCGTTTAATATTGTCAGCTAACAATATCTTGTAATCAGGAGAGTGGTGCACTTGTTAGACTCTTTCTAAAGAGATGCATGCCTAAGGAAATGAGGCTTTAAGCGATTATCATGGTCCTCCCATTTCCTAGAAAAATCGAGTTTTAAGCGATCTTCGGATACCACCTTTTTCTGCCAAAACACTGTGGATGAAATGAACCCAACCGGGCATACCGTCACGATCCTCGGGGGGATGATTACTCGCGCACACCGGTTTGCCGTCGATGGGAAGATGGGTTAGGATGACGACATCCTTTAGCGTGATGGTGGCCTCTCCTTATCTAAAGTTGAAACAATGGGTCTCCTTTCTCCATCTCTTAACTAATGCGGTGATGAGTTGGCGATCGACTTTGATGCCGTTAAAATGCCTAATCGGGTTCAACCGTGCCCTTTTGAGAAAGTGCAAGATAGCTGGGTGTAGGGCTGGCCATTCGGTTATCGGTTGTCGGTTAACCGGTCGGTTAAACCGATAACCGGCGGTTACCGGTTAACCGGTAACCGAAAAACAGAGGGTGCGGGCGGTTGGCGGTAGAAGGGTTGAGGAGGCCGGTTAACCGGCTAACCGCTATAAATAACCACCGGTTAAACCGACTAACCGGCGCATCCTCCCCTCTTAAAACGCTGTCGTATCTGTGTCTGTCTTTTACCCTAACCATCGCGATTCAGGCTTCCACTCTCCCTTCCAGGCTTCCACCAATGCGATTCACTCTTCCTCTCCCTCTCCCTGTCGCCGCGGTGCCGCCCTCACTCTCCCCGCCGCCGCGCCTGCCCCTGCCGCCGCCGCGCCTGCCCCTCACTCTCTCCCTGCTGCGCGCCGCTGCTTGCCCATGCCGTCGCTGGCTCTCTCCCTCACTCTCCCTGCCGCCGACGCCACCATCGCCCTCCCGCCTCCCCGACGCCAGTCTCTGCCATCTCCCTCTCGCCTCCCCGACGAGTCGACGACAAGCTGACTGCTCTTTGCAGAGCATGGAAAGCAGAAGCAGCAACCGATTGGGGAAAATGAAGGGGAGAGAGGGAGCAAGCGAAAGGAAGATTTGGTTTCGAAGCGGCGGCGATAGGAATTGAATTGGGGCTCAATCTGCATCATCATCTCCGTCGCCAATCCCCGTCACAAATCGTCATCATCGGTTGGGCATCGAGGGTCTTCTTCATCTTCGACACCAGATCTGCCGCCGCCATCTGCTGGTGGGAGGGATTACATCGGACAGAAAAGAGAGGGTCGAGATGTCGGGAAAACGAAGCGGAGAGAGAGAGAGCGAGCAAAAGGAGGATTTGGTTTCCGATGCAGCGACGATAGACTATGGGTTGGGGCTCGATCCGCCGCCCTCACTTTCCCTGCCGCTGTGCCTGCCCCTGCCGCCGCCGACCCTCTCCCTCACTCTCTCCCTGGCGCCGACGCCACCATCTCCCTCCCGCCTCCCCGACGCCAGTCTCCGCCATCCTCGCCGGTTTTTATTATATGTCGCGGTTAGCTCGATTAACCGAGCAACTAACCGATAACCGATCGTTCGGTTGCCGGCTAACCGAAGCTCTCCTTCGGGCGGTAGGCACGGCTGCTTCCACGGTTAACCGGTAACCGACACTTCGGTTATCGGTTATAACCGAAAATCCAGCCCTAGCTAGGTGGAATGGGAGCACATTGGTCGTACCCCTATAGCGGAGTATTGTTTGTGCCTCCTAGCAAAAATTTACACGTTAATTATTATATATTAGTAAGGTTTTTTCCTTATAACTAAATTAATTAAATTAAATTATTTAACTTCAAGAAGAATTTTATTATCATAAAAATACATTTCATATAATTAACATAATAACATTCTAAATCAATACTAATCTAAATCAATACTAATTTAAAGAGATACATACATATTATCATAAAACAAACATACTAAATTAATTAACATAATAACATTCTAAATGAATAATAATTTAAAGAGATACATACATATTATCGTAAAACAAACATACTAAATTAATTAACATAAATAACATTGTAAATGAATAATAATTTAAAAAGAAACATACATATTCAAATATTTGAAATTAATAAAATTCATTTTGTACACATAAAAATAAATCGTATTGGTTGTTTGGTAAATAATTTAATCGTATTGGTTGTTTTAAATAATTTAATCGAATACAGAGCAACACTCGTTAGACTCTTAGAAGATGTATACATCTTCTTAGAAATGCAGTCTTTTTGACAGAAAAAGGGGAGAATCGATGATCTCTTAATATCCGATTTTCCCAGGGAATGTGAGGATATGATAATCGCTTAAAACCTCATTTACTTAGACGTGCATATCTTTATAAAGAGTCGAAGTAAGTGGCGCTATGTATTCAATTAAATTATTGAAACAACCAACACGATTAAAAATTCAACATAAATTTATTTTATATTCCACTAAATACATTAGCAAAATAAAAGAAAAACAAATGATGAAGAATTGTATGTACCAGGTGATCGTTCCAAACATCCCTTGACCGATGGTTGGGTTGGTCGTACTAGTCAGTTGGATCCAACGGTCCTTGCTCGAGATAATACCGTTGGTTGTATATATCCACGTCGTCCCCAACCTACGAGAAAATAACAACGAGGTTAGTACATAGATTAATTAAAAAGCTTATAACAACAACAAAAATTAAACCAGGATAATGAGTACGTTTCGCTAGAAATCCATCAACATAAACTCCCTCTCCTTGCCACCAATCGCTCATTTTTTCGGAAAATTCGGACAGAGATTCGGCTCGGCGGGTTTTGAGGAAAAAACTTAAGAAATGTTTTCTGATGGCAGATCGGACTTAGCCGCAACCAACATACCACTATTTCCTAGGCTTTTGGGAGGGGAGGGTTTAGAGACATAATTTTAGAGAGAGAGAGTGGAGAATGGTTGTGGTGTGAAAAAATGAGAGAGAGGGAGGGGGTATTTGTACCCACCAGACTCCACCCCCAGGGGCGGTCAGGTAATTTTGCCCCAGTCAAAACCGCAGCTTGCCGAGGCGGTTTGCGAGTCACGAGGCGCTGACCGCGCCTTGCAGCTGCGGTCTCCGATCCATGGCGCAGATCACTCTGCTGGCGCGCGGTCCGCCATCCGATCGCTCCTCCATCCAACGGTCTTGAAGACCGTTCCGCAGAGAAAGCACACCGCACCTTCCTAGTGCGGTTCGCGTACTGACGTGGCATGAAACGCATCACTAAGGTGCGGTTTATAAGTAAAACGCACCTGTGGGGTGCGGTTTACTTATAAAACGCACCTCACCTTAGGGGTGCGTTCGATTAAAAAGGGTGCTATTTATGTCAATTTTTTCGGCTGGGTGCTAGTTTTGTAATTTTTTTTAAACGTGCTTTTATTGGAAAAATCCCAATACTAGTGTATGTCTGGCATACGCTATACACCTGCCTTCACACCTATTATTTGTATATGGATAATTCCGACGAATTAGAACTATTGGTTTTCATTTTTTAGATTAAATGAATCTTATAGTTTGGGTTAGAGGATTGGGGACTGGGTTCATCCATTGGAAGTTAAAGTATAGTATCATGTCCCAAAATATGACTAATTCAGGATCTAAATAACAAAAATGAAAGGGCGTACGATAAAGTAAGCATACGTCAGGCGTACGCTAGACTGAAACATATATATCCATTCACGAATCAGAGTTTAGGTTATGATACTATACCCTAACCTATAATGAGTGAACCAAGTCCCTAATTCTCTAAACCAAATCATATCGCTAAACTCTAACCTTAAATTCCTAATCCCTAAGGGGTCATTTACTTGTTGGATTGTGGTGATGGATTTGGTACCCAATCCAATTCATCAAGGATTTAGGACCAAACCCATGTTTGTTAAAAAAAATGTGGAGGTACTAAAGAGAGTGAGATTACCAAATCCAATTCATCAAGGATTTGCGACAAAACCGATGTTTGTTAAAAAAAATGTGAAGGTACTAAAGAGAGTGAGATTAATATTAGTTTGGGCGATATGAATATTAGACCCTATTTAGTATAGTTTCTATGTTGTTATGTTGTTGTGTTGTGGGAAGGTTGGGTAAACACATGACCAACAACAACAACACAACTCAAATCAACAACCATGGTGAATAGAAAAATTAGCCTCTAACATTCATTTTTTCTCGCACTCCACTTCTCCGTCGTTCCCTCCTCGTCTTTCCTTTCTTACACTACATCCAAATTTGGATCGGAGTTCTAGGAGTTTCATTGATATGGGGAAAGGAGTGGGGTCGTAGACGTTGTGGGTTGGGATTGGGGGTCGTAGTGGTTTCGTGGGGATGGAGAATGGATTGGGGTTGTTGGCGTTGTGGGTTGGGATTTGGGGTTGTCGGGGTTCGTCGAATGGGGAAAGGTCGATGAGTCGGATTTGGGGTCACTGTGGGTTGGAATTTGGAGTGACGACGACGGAGAGTGGGATTGAGAGGTGGGAGGGAGTGATTGAGGTGGGATGGGACGTCGCTGGGAACTCATTGGAGCTCGTCGCAGCTCTTGTGTTTTTGGATCTGATGGAGTTTTCAGACGAGGAAGATGACTAGACGCCACCGGGAAATCATCGGAGCTTGAAAGAACTATTTAGTTCTAGATAATCAGAATTGGGTATGAGAATTGGAGTGGAAATTGGGGAATTAGGGAAGAACTAAGAATAGCAAGGGGAATAAGGGTTTGAGCCATAGCTCTTGGAAGAGAGGGAGAGGGGTCAGACGTGGGTGAGAGAGAGAGAGAGTTAGGTTCAGGGTTTTATGATGATACTTGCTTGATGAAAACTATTTTCAGTTTACCAAATATAAACCCAAAATAATTACATTTTGCTACCCAAAGAATATTTCATAACCCAAATAGGCCAATAATGCCTAAAATCTCCAAAAACAACATCCACAACTCCCAAATTAGTAAAACCGACAAATAGGGCCAAAATCACATATTAATTCCCCCCCCCCCTCCCCCAATGTTTCTAACACCCCCCCCTAAGACCAATATTGCCCTTAAGATTGGGTCTTATCTTCCTGCTTTGCCTTCTGGTCCTCTGCCACCTCCGCAACCCATTCCTCTGCCTCGTCCTCCCAACATCCCACCATCATCATCAGCTCCGACTTTGCACATTGATGGCCGAAGGTGTACCGCTCGTTGCAGTTTCGTCGATCTCTGTCGGCGACAGCTTGACGAATCCCTTCGGAATAGCTCGCGGTCCTGGCCAGATTGCCCCAGGCGCCGCCGCTACGGGAGCCACTGCTCCTCCAGTTCCTTCTATCCCGCCATCGCCATTATTTGGTGGAAGCTCCCCCACTTCCTACTCCACTTGACTTCTGGTAGCGCCCAATGGTACCCCACCAGCTAGCTAATTCTTCTTCCTTTGTCCCTGCAAGACGAAAATCAAATCGTAGTGAATTCGACTCGAAAACCTTGACGGCAGCTGCGATCTCTGGGCGTAGTCCCACCATGCTTAGCCCCACCAGGGTCTCCTCTAGGACTCCTTTGCACATATTCCCGAGTTTGAGGAACTATGCTCTGTAATCCGCAACTACCCGATCTGTCTCAACTTTGCCACCTGTTCCGAAGCTCATCCTTCCGATTTTCCAAATTGATATCGGAGCTCCTCCTAGAACCTTGGCCACGTGATCAAGGTGTCCGAGGCAGCATAAGACCGCTCTAGCCACTCCCTCCATTGCAGGGCATCACCCTCGAACTAGAAAGATGCCAACTGCGCCTTTCTTTCCTCACTTGTGGGATGGTTGTTGAACCACCTGTCAGCAACAGACAACCACAAGCCCGCGTCCTCCTGGAAAAAGCTTGGGGAATTCAATGGTCGGCGGCCTAGTCCTAAACACCAAATCATCATCACCCTCATAAGCAGAATTGTGTTCCCCATACCTGGCCACCTCGTAGCCTCCCGATCGACTCTGGAAGCTGCATTGGTGCCTCGGGTCACCTTCATAGGTCTGACCCTCCTCCCTATCGCGCCCCGGTAGTCCCAGAGGACTGCCGTCGCGTCTTGGGGTCTTCCATGATGGGTACGGACTCTCGTATGCACCCCTACTCTTATTTTCGTGTTCTCTTGGGGCCCGATTGGTCCTGTCACTCGTTGCTGCCCGGTTGTACACTGACTGACTCAGTCTGGTTTGCCCGGTCCAACTCTCCATCTGTCCCTATATAGGTTGGACTGGTTTGCCCCAACCTTGGTCGGATCCAAACGACCCTTCCATTGAACCCAGCGGCCCGTGATCTTTCTCCATCTCGCCCCACTCCTCATGCCCGTGACCCACAAAACTTAGCTCAACATCCTCATGGGCCCATTCGCGGCCCATGAAAGTGCAACCTCCCTCCTTCTGCCTCCGCCTTCTCGGATCTGTCTCCTAGCCCCGCGGACCCGAGCCCCCACCCATGCCTATGAACTCTTATCCCAACGCACGCACCCAAGCCTGGACCTCCACGACCTCCTCAGCCCTTGGGGTGGGCAAAAGCCTTGGGGCGGAACTTGGCCCACCACGGTGCGGGTTCGACTGCCCTCCTCCCGCCCTGGTCACGATCTCACTCGTCTGCCTTCCTCCGCCCGCTGCCTGCCCTTCTTCAGGTGATGGCACGATCTGCGTCGGCGCAACCACCTTTGTCCCGGTTCCGTCGCCCTTCTAAGTAGGGTCGACGATTTGAGGAAGCCTCCTCTGCAGCTCCGCCACCACCCACGTCAAGCTCTTCAAGCCTTTTCGGAGAGTCGTCGCCTCATGGCGGAACGCCTGTACCTCCTCAGACAAAATTTTATTCTCTTTCTTCCTGCTCTCCGCCTTACACTATGCTATACGCAAACTGTCTTCGAGCTTCAGAATTGAACAACTACTTTCAGAGTTTTCTTGCTTATCTTCATCCACATTCATTCGCACCCACCTAAAAAAGCGACAATTCTTCTTCTCGTCCTGCACCATAACAGCAATAAACTTACGACTCTAGCTCAAAGACGAGTACCACACAAAATCACAAATGCATAAATCATGTCTCCGCCACCTTACCTTCCGAAAAGGACATCCATAGAACTGTCTGCCTGGGTTCAACTCTGTGCCAGATGTATTGACCACACATAGCTTATTGCACCAACAGAGTACCACACCTCGGTCAACCTTCAATGTCAAATCGGGTCGGGCCAGGTTAATGAGTATATAGGGTTAAGCTTACCTAGTTTAAGCGAATAAAGGATGAACTATATTGGTCTGCTAAGTATATTAAGTTGGCTAATCTATAGTGGTTTGGCTTTTGAACCTTTTTTTTTTTACTTTGAGGTTTCTAAGCGCGCAATTTCACTTGTGCTAAAGATCGCTAGCTTGTTTGCTTCTTGTTCTTGGGTTTGAAAATGAAGGTTTTTAGTTTTGAAAATCTTTGCATTTACGATGGATTTGTTTCATTTTGTATTTGAAAGATAACATTGTTTGTTTAGTTAATTTTGATCATGGATTTAAATTTTTTTGTACCATGGGTCTCAAATTCTTACCTTCCATGACTAAATATCAAATCAAATGTGGTATTTGCAAATACGTGGAGTTCACAGATTTGGAGCTAAAACACGGATTTGTATACCTCAACAAACATTATTTTTCATCAAATACATTATATTTGGATGACCAATATATCACCCAAATCTTTGATAATATTATGAAGTGCTAACACACGATGTCAGACAATCGTTTGTGTTATCTCCGTTAAACTCCTCAATTCTTCTAGGAGGGGAAAATTAAAAACCACAACAATCAATTCGATGATGGTTGTGAAATCAATTATATTTGTATCACTAATCTCTAGGCTAAGCCCTCGACATCATCTAACAAAGGCGGTGAATCCAATAACTGCCGCCAACAGAGCATCAAATCCCAATCAACACAAGCCAAAATGTACATGTCCATTTCACCTCCCCTTGTGTGGAAACTACAAAGATGACAGTTTTAGTGTTTTACTAATACTTCCTACCTGATTAATCACCTTCCGCAACAACGTTAACCCACTAACCCAAACCCCTATTTTATTTCTAGCTAGTATTACAAGTCATTAACTAATTAATTACTCCACTAATCACAAGTTCTCAACCCTACATATATCACCTAATCACCACATCCCATCACTACACATCCTCGTGACAGATCTCAGCAGAAGGAGAAAGAAGAGAAATGAACAAGCCAAATATCATCCATCATGCCTGCCTCCTTCTCCTCTCCATCATCGTCTCCTCGTCCGACATAAACGTCGTCGGCGCGAAGGTGATGATGGAGTACATCGGAGCCACGGGGTCGCCGATCGAGTTCGACGCCGTCCCCATCCAACCAGGCATCGACTTCCACTTCATCCTCGGCTTCGCCATCGACGCCGACCCCTCCGGCACCCCGCTCAACGGGGAATTCAAACCTTACTGGGCCGACACCCTGAGCCCAGAATCCATCTCGTCACTCAAAGCCCAAAACGGCCCAAGCGTCAAAGTCATGGCCAGCCTCAGCGGATGGAGCCTCGGGGGGAAAGTGCTCCGCTGGACCCGGCCCAATAACCAATCCTTGTGGATATCCAACGCCGTCTCCTCCCTCCGCTCCCTCATCGCCACCTACCACCTCGACGGCATCGACGTCGACTACGAGACCTTCGGCCGCGGCAAGGGCGACATCGAAAGCTTCGCCTTCTGCATCGGCGAGTTAATTGCACAGCTGAAGCGGGAAAATTCGATCTCCGTCGCCACAATTGCGCCGTTCCACACCACGGTGGCGCCCTACGCGGCTCTGTTTCAGAGGTACGGTGGGTTGGTTGATTATGTGAACTACCAGTTTTATACGGACAAGGTTAGGAACCCGGTGGCTTACCTGGCCGCGTTTCGGCTGCGGGCGGGGCAATTTGGCAAGGGGAAGCTGCTGCCGAGCTACGAGGTGAGTGGGAGAGGGATTCAAGGGGACGGGTTTTTTGACGCGCTGGCGATGTTGGAGAGGAATGGGTTTGGCGTTAATGGAGTTATGATTTTCTCGGCGGATGCTTCTGCGGCGGAGGGTGTTAATTTCGAGTACGAGAAGAAAGCTCAGGCCTTTCTACTCAATGTCAATAGCACCCATCTTTCGTAGGTAGAAAGAAAATGTGTTTCGACCGAATGGTATAGATGCTAATAAAATAGAGTCGGAATTCATATCGAACATAAGTTAGCCATATTAGATTTCAGTTAACAATACTATATGAAGATTCTTGGGCATAACCCCCTTAAACCTCTTTTTCCGGCTCTCAATACAATCCACGGAGGGATAATTTAGTAAACATGTTGTGGATTTATTCACGAATCTGGGGCCAAGCCCAATCTTCTTTTATTGCAAACTTGGGATACGGAAACAGAATAGATAATTCACCACTACAAATCTGAATAATTATATGGGGTTGGTTAAAAAAAAAAATTTGGCGGCTAATTGGTAGTTTCAACTTTCAAAGCCAAATTCTAAACTAAAGAAAAAAAACTCATTAAGCTAATAAGGCAAGACCATCACTTTCACCCGTAAACTTTCATGATTTGGTCATGCCGGTACATGAACATTACTTTCCATCATACCAGTACACGAATTCATATTTTTGGTCATCGCGGTACATCAACCGATTCCAATCATGAAACCGGCATGAGTACCAATGGTATGACCAGCATGATAAATTTACGGTGTTTAAATAAAATGACATTGTTTTAGTAAATGAAATTAACAAAATAATTTATTTATTTCAATTCATTTGACGTTAATGGTATTTCACATTTGTACATATAGTTTATTAAATCAACACAGGTCGGCATGAACTAACATAAACCGACTGTACGAAATTCATATTTTGGCAATCGCGGTACATCAACCGATTCCGGCCATGAAATCGACACGAATACCACAAGTATGACCAGCTTGATAAATTTATAGAGTTTAAATAAATGACATTGTTTTAGTAAATGAAGTTAATAAAAAACTTTATTTATGATTTATTCCATGAATATGAGATTTAAATGTACATAGATTTTCTTGAAATATGTTATATATATAACATCAATGCACCCAACTCTAAAAGTAGTCATAGACATAATATTTTGAATTTTAACTGGTAGCATTAGTCTAATATGATGATATAACAGAGAATCTCAACTAATCAATCCATTGCTTTAACCCCTAAATCTTCAATTTTGAACATTAACACAAAATCCCAAAATGTGAGCCCTAACCCTAATTCTCTAAATCATAAACCCTTCAAATCAAAGTAAATACTTATGATTTTTTTTGGCAAATTCATGGGGTTTCATGCCTATCATATCACAAGTAATGATTGACATTGTTTAGACATTAATCGCCTACTCAAAATGGCGATTATGAGGCGGGTGCACTGAATGCACCCGAAAAAGTGAGTATGATCCGCGGCAACAACTATCTATCTTGGTGCTTTTCCCCTTGACGAACATCTCTTTTCCTTGTGAGAAAAAAAAGGGATTCAATTATCAAGAAGATTCCTTCTATTCCACTCAATTTTATCTTTATTCTTTTGCTCCTATTCCATGATGAATTAATGTAAGCACAGCCATCCCCTATATGTCTAAGCCCTTTTCAAAGGATACTCTCTCAGGGGTATATATATATATGGGGAGTTGTACGGTATCAGGGTGAAATCCAGGGTACCGCATAGCTTGAGTAAGAAAACGCTATCCAAAACTTGAATTGACTGATCTTTCGGACATGATACTATACTCTAACCCTTAAAGATCAAAATATAGGTCTTAATTCTCTAATCTTATACCCCAAAATAAGTTTAATTAGAAACAATAATCGACAGTTATAATTCGTACAAATATAGGCACAAAAAAAAAAAACAATGCACCATCTTAGGGTTTATAGTTTATGATTTAGATAATTAGTACCTAGGGTTCACTCATTAAGGGTTAGGGTATCGTATCATTCCAAAAAATCTTGCTAATTCGAGGTCTAGATAGCGTTTCATACTCAAGGTATATATGCGGTACCCCGGATTTCACCCGGGGTACCGTAGAAGACACCATATATATATATATATATATATGGAAAAGGCTTGCATACGCCCGTTGAGTTTTGTTATTTAGACAATGATTTGACCGGAGTTCCGGTAGCCTTTCTCCCACGCTCTTTGTAATCCAATTTTAGCGTCTTTCAGTTCGGCCATGGTGATAATACAGTTCCCTAAGTTACAGATGAAAGCGTCGAGGCACCTACTGAGATGATCACGAATAAGCCCCCCCTGCCGCCGCCTTCCCTGAACTTTGTAGTACTGATCCGTCAGTTTGGATTTGAATCCAATTCTCCCTTGGTGGCTTCCACGCAATGGGGGTGGAGATGTAATGGTTCCTTGGTAACAGAATGCTCCTCTCCTCATTCTTCCTTGCTTGCTGATATACCCGAATCCAAGAGAGAATCTTGCTTATGAGCCCTGGTTCGGAGAACTTTTTTTTCCATCCAAGGTCTCCTCATTTCTTTGCTTCCATATCAGCCAACACATGATACCAAAATCGGAGAAAAAAATAGTTCATATATTCATAATTATTTTCTTTTTTAATCTTAAATTTGCTGGGCTTTTCATTAAAATTTCTGGACTGGAAATAGATACATTATTATAATGGATTAGGAGCCCAAACAAGTGATAGGTGGCTAATTGGTCCACTGGATTTTTTGGTCCCAACCATAATCTAAATGGGCCTACTGATTTGCCTTCCCTACGGACAAAACTCCACCCATTCACCAAACCTTGACTTCAACATCGATCTAATATTTGCCGGCCAGCAAATCCATCTCCGGCCGGTCGTCCTCTCTCCTCGACTATCGGGTTCAATCAAAAGCAGGGGATCTTTACGGCTTATTGAATACCCAGTCAAAGAGCTGTCTCCCTTCCACCATCTCCACCCTTCATTTCCCTTTTCCTCGTCTAGTAAAGCCATAGATAAAAAAAAATATTTCATTCGAGTCTCCCACCATTCCTCCAAAACGAAACTCATCCTGCCCAATTGACAAGTGCACAGTGCCCAGCTTGTAAACTCAAGCCAGTGGTCTTCTCCAGTGATTTGGGTGATGGATCGTGTACATGCACCACTTCCTCCACCTTCGATCTTTAGGAGCTTGTTTCTCTATTTAGAGGCCTTTGTGTCCTTACCCTTTGGAGTTTGGACATGGCTGCTGTATTGAAACGTGGTGTTTCGGTTCCTTCATCCTCGTGATTCTATATTCTTGGAATCCGGGTTTGTGTTTTACTTTATTTGACTGTGGTCAGTGGTGTTATGTCTCGGCTGCAAGCCTGCAACCATGTTTTGGCCCGTCCGATCTGATCTCACGGCTCAAACACAAGCTTGCTCGTCCCGCTTTTTGTTTTCTAGTGCCATAAAACTCTCTCCTCTTTAGCAGAGTCTTTCAGGTTTTGGTCCCCCTTATTTCATTTCCTCCATTGGACACCCATACCAAAAGAAAGCGGACCTTTCTCCTTCCTCAACCCCCTCTCTACTTCCCAAGCTCTACTGACCATTTCTTCCATCGATTTCTCCTCTTCCTTGTGTCTCTTGGGTGTGAAGAGTCCAGGGTTTTCGTTTCTGGGTTTTGTTTAATGTTCTTCAGGAGTTCAACAATTTGTGTCAGTTAAGGTTAATGGTGATAAATACTTCTCAAATGACTCTGTTGCTCCTCCTCTGCCTACTGGGAGTTGCTTCAGCTTCTACTAGTAATGAAGGTAAAGCCTTTTCATTCCTTTCTTATAAAACCCCCTCTTAAAAACTTTCTTAGTCTGGTTTCTTTTGATTTGGAGTTCATTCTTACATTTGTAGCTACTGGGTTTTGATTTTCCCTCCCACCTTTACATCTTCATTCAAGTGCTTATTGAGTTGGGTGTTCTCCATTTTCATGCCTTGTTAAGATTTATGTTTGTTATACTCATTTTTGTGATATTGATAAGGCTGCTTGCTTGTTTGTTCTTCTGTTCAGGAGGAGTTTTCCTCATGAAATGAATGTTGCTGTTTTTGAGGGTTCCCATTTTTGGAAGTTTGGTAGAATGTATTAATGTCTGGATTCGGTTAGGTTGTGTTAAGTGATGTTGTAAGGTTAATAGGGAAAGTTGCTTGGTCCTGTGTCATAATCTTTTCTTGTTGTTACTACCTGTCATTATCGAACTAATAGAAGTTTTCCTGTGAGCGGTGTTCTTTTCTTTAGTTAATCTCATGAACTATTCCCTCCATACCATTAATGGAGAATCTCAGAAAAAAATAGTGCTTCCCAGCTCACATGGCATTTGCTGCTTTACCAGCAAGGCCACATTTTTGCCATCTGCTGCAGGGGAAAGGGACCAAACTGCCCTTCTCTTTTGAGGATGTGGACGAGTCCATAGTTAAAGGAATTAGAACCCTAGATGTGCATTTGAAATGGATGCATTGCCAATGCTGACCGTTATATTCTCAGTTCCTTGGAAAAAAGAATCAAACTTTATCAGCTTGTCAGATTTATATTTATAAAAAAGTTGCTTCCTTTCAGAGATGGGTTGTCCTGTGGACAGAACAAACTCAGAAATGTCCACGCTTCCTGCTTGTTTATTGTGTTGTTTTTTTGTGTCTGGCATCTCCAAAGAGCAATTAGAGATCTAGAATCCACCTAGACCTGGTTTGTGAAATAATGTGGATTTTATTTTCTGCCAGGAGAGCTCATGTAAAATAACTAGTGCTTGAATCTGTACTTGTCCTTTTCCCCCTGTTTTTGTTTAAAATAATGGAATTCTCCCTATTGAATTGTAGACTTGACATTCTTAATTCCTTAATACTGTCCTATCTGTAAATTTTGTTCAGCTTACCAATGGGGGAAAATGCCTTCAATGTGTGTCACTTTCAAGTTTACTGCTGCTTCCACTTTGTTGATGGTCTTAAACTGCCTAGGTTTTGCTTGCTGAAATTCATTTGCCTGCTAAGTTGGGAAATTAATACAATGCTGAAAATGGACCTGTTTTCACTCATTGATTAGCGAGAAGCTAGTGAAGTAAAGACCACCATGGATCATTGCATTCCACTTGTTTGTTGCAGAGTCTTTCATTGGTGTTAACATCGGCACAGCCCTCTCGGACATGCCAAGCCCAACTCAAGTGGTGGCTCTTCTCAAAGCTCAGAACATTCGACACGTCAGGCTCTACGATGCCGACCGAGCAATGCTTACAGCACTCGCCAACACAGGAATCCACGTCACCATTTCGGTACCCAATGACCAGATACTTGGCATTGGTCAATCAAATGCCACGGCAGCCAACTGGGTTTCCCGTAACGTGATAGCTCATGTCCCTGCCACAAACATTACAGCCATAGCAGTTGGATCTGAAGTCCTCACCACTCTGCCAAATGCAGCCCCAGTCCTAGTCTCTGCCTTAAAGTTTATCTACTCTGCCCTTGTTGCAGCTAATCTCGATGCTCAAATCAAAGTCTCAACCCCTCATTCATCTTCCATCATCCTCGACTCATTCCCTCCTTCCCAGGCCTTCTTCAACCGAACTTGGAACCCGGTAATGATTCCTTTGCTTAAGTTCTTGCAGTCCACTGGATCCCACCTCATGCTAAACGCCTATCCATACTACGATTACATCCAAGCGAATGGTGTTATTCCATTGGACTATGCCCTATTCCAACCCTTGCAACCGAATAAAGAAGCTGTGGATGCCAACACTCTTCTCCATTACACTAATGTCTTTGATGCTCTTGTTGATGCATCGTATTTTGCAATGTCCGAGCTCAACTTCACGAATGTCCCTGTTGTTGTGACTGAGACTGGTTGGCCCTCCAAAGGAGATTCTAATGAGCCAGATGCCACAACTGACAATGCAAACACATACAACAGCAATTTGATCAGGCACGTACTGAATAACACTGGCACCCCCAAGCATCCCGGAATTGCAGTTAGCACTTTCATTTACGAGCTTTACAACGAGGATTCAAGACCTGGTCCAGTGTCTGAGAAGAACTGGGGGCTTTTTGATGAGAATGGGGTGCCTATCTATATCTTGCATTTGACAAGTGCGGGCACTGTGCTGGCAAATGATACTGCGAACCAGACCTTCTGTGTGGCGAAAGAAGGTGCTGATCCAAAGCTGCTGCAGGCTGCACTGGACTGGGCTTGTGGACCAGGGAGAGTTGATTGCTCGCCGATGTTGCAAGGGAAACCATGTTATGAGCCGGATAACGTAATTGCTCATGCAACGTTTGCTTTTAATTCTTACTATCAAAGGATGGCTAAATCTCTTGGAGCTTGTGATTTTAAAGGGGTGGCAGCTATCACCACTACTGACCCAAGTAAGCAATTCTGTTCTCTAGTGGGGAAAATGTCATGCAAAGAGTAGTTTGAGGATCTAGGTAATCATGCTTTTTGATGGAAGACTTTTCATTGGCAATGGAGGAAAAGGCTAAACTGTTTTAAGTGGCTGGGATCTTGAGTTACTGAGTCTTTCATATTCAACACATGCTGAAAATGAGGAAATCATGATGTCAATGAATATTGTCATATGACCTGTCATGGTTCTGTTACTTCTGCTTGCATGTCGTTCAAGTTGCTAAAAATTTGTCTGCCAATGCAGGTCATGGCTCTTGTGTAGTCCTTGGAAGGTATGAACTAACTCTATATCATATAATTCATGTCACTCCATTGCTCTAGTTTCCCCCAGTTGTCCTTTTCAAACTTAAATCTTACATATTCATTTCTCGTTGCAGTGTTGGAAGGAATGGCACTTTTACAAACACAACATCTCTGGCTCCATCATCGAACTCTACGACTACTTCCGGCTGTCCTGTACCATACTCTGCCCCCGTAGGAGCCGGTTCTTTCACAGCCTCATTGATTATGTGCATTTTGGTGGTGAGCATGATGGCCTTGTAGTAGATAATTCTCGTGGAATGGATCTGTATTGTAATATGCAGAACATGTGGCAGCATTCCCTTTTTTGGTCTTGCTAGATTAAGGTGTAGGAGTTTAGGGTGTTGTAATTGTAACATTTCATCTGTGCTTCGATCATGTAGGACTTTCGTTTTACTCTCTCCCCTGGTTTTAGTTAACTGGATGACTGAACAAAGCAACTCAGAGCATCCGTAGATGATTTTTATTGTCTGTTGTAACCATTGGTTCATCATTCTTTACACTTGGTAGGAAAGTGGTTTACTTGTGTTTGGAAAGGTTTAGAAGACTGCATAAACTGGATTCGAGTGATGAATCGGTTGGAAACATTTTGAAGCTCTAGTCACTTGACTCGAAGGACTGCAAAAATTTGAAGAATCCATGCAGCATTGACTCCTTGGAATCTTTCATTGTACTCGTTATCTCATGCTGCTCGAAGCTCGATCATCTTCATTGTGGAATAAGGATATGGGATTCCTAACTGTTCTCCATGTAGAACAACCATAAACCAACCAAGTAGCTCCATGGCTCCATCTAATGGTCTGATAAATTTAAGTCTTTCAGATTGCAGACTGCCAAGCACTGCGGTTCCAAGTGATCTTAATAACCTTCCACGCCTGGAGTACTTGGCTATAAACAGAAACCATATTAAGAGCCTTCTGAAAACCATCGGGGATTCACTGCAGAGCATCACCAATATGCTGATTGTATGCACAGCTCGAAGACCGACATGCTGACTGAAGTTGAAGGACTGTTTAAGTTTGAATTGCTTATGAGCGTCAACAGAACCCTACTCAGTGCTCAATGGTTTCGGCCTCTTCGATTGGTAATCGCTGCTATGAATTAAAGTGGAGATGGCGAATGTTTTTGGCAAAATCTCAGAGAGGGTGCTCTTCAAGGACTCATGAGTGGAATATGAAAGCATATTCATCTAGGAATGTGGTTCCAAGAGGTTTTTCTTGAGAGCTGAAGAAACATTGTAGATTCCTGATGCGTTGGTCAGTACAAACAATCACTACTTCAAAGGATAATCAATTTTGTTAAGTATGCTCTCAGTTGGACTAGAACATGGATTCAAGAGAGCGTGGAAACTTAAACAACATTCAACATGGTACCATCACATTGCATTTGTCAACTGCAATAACAAAACACTGAGAATCCCAACTAGTATATCCTCTTTCGGCTGTAACTGAGAACAGAAACAGAGGTAACAAAGAGCACAAAAATGACTTAAAATAGGGAGGTTCCTTTCCCCTTCTTGTCTCCACCAATCTCAAAGTGCTTGCACCTCTGCACACACCAAAAACGAAGCAGCAAACGTTTGAGAACCATTTCAACAATAGAAATCAAGAGAATTCGTTCAAAACTTGTAGTAAACGAATCCAACAAACCTTGATCGGGTGCTGGGAGACGTGCTTGCAACCCTGGCATTGCAGCCTCAACACAATCTTCTTCGTGGTTTTAGCCTGCGGAAGTAAAGCATAAGCATAAGTGTCAATGGAACTTAATAACAGATAAAAACACATTTGTGGGGTGTGACTTTGATCAGGAGGCCTCAGCAGTATAGGAATTGTCTCAGTCATGAGTATGAACAATCAGACAATGTAGGCAAAACATTAATCTTCACAGGCCTCCATGAATCATTTTAGTAAAAAAAAAAAGGGACTTGATAAAGTGCGCAACGGTATCAACTACCAAAATGACCTAATAAACTCTGTAACTATAAATGAATCGATCAAAACACAGAGGAATGAATACCTTCTTGTGGAAAACGGGCTTCGTCTGACCTCCATACCCTGATTGTTTCCTGTCATAACGACGCTTTCCTTGGGCAGCCAAGCTATCCTTTCCCTTCTTGTACTGGGTGACCTTGTGCAAGGTGTGCTTTTTGCACTCCTTGCTCTTGCAGTAGGTCTTCTTTGTCTTTGGTACGTTCACCTGACGTGAGATACAAGCAAAGCCAATTGCAAGTAAGAATCAAAAAGAGAAACTTACCTAACAAAAAGGAATATGTAAACATTTCATATGCTTTTGAAACATTCTATCCACTACATGTTCGATCCCCATTCTTCAATAGGTAACAAGCATCCCAATTCTACAAAGGAGTCTCGGCTATCCTATGGACTCTATCAACTATGGAACAAGCAAGTTCAGACAACTAACAGGTCGAAGGAAACTGAAATGAAAGAGAACGGCACGCCAGAGCCCATTCTTCCATAATAGAGCAACGATCTAAAGGAATGATCAAATTCCATGGATCAAACCAAATCATCCATTGTTTCAGCTACGAGGGCAGATAAGTACTTCAAAGCTCATCAAATTCCCTACTTCCACCTTCTTGCATTTTCTTGGTAAGGATATAGTAAGTTATCGCAAACGGCACTGATCATGAACAACAGATGAGAAGAAGAGCTACGGTAACTTACCATGGCTGCCTGCTTAACGATAGGGCTCCGATTCCGGCTTCTGCGATTGCGAAACTAGGAAATCTGGAGAACGGCGAAATCAATATATACGGGGACTTTACTAGGGTTTCGCAGATCAAGCTGATTATGTTTGGGCCTCTGCTAGAGAACAGAGGCCAGGCCGAAGTCCAGAGAAGGTCGCGGGAAAACTAAAGCCCACTCATTCCTTATTCCCCAGTCTAGGCCCATTTGACTGAATAAATAGAAAGTCTTCGTCTTCTGCAGTAGGAGAAAATGAGAAAGTCAACCATTTGATTCTCCGACGCGGGAGCCTGATCCTTTTGACTTCAACTCTCCCTCTTTCTCTCTGCATCTTCTCCTTTCCGGCTTTCCGCCTTTTCACTTCCCCCCAAAAAAAACCCTCCATTCCTTCTTTCCTCTGTAATGGCTGCTGCGTCTGCTTCCTCTTCTTCCGCCCGGTACAGGTACCACGTGTTCCTGAGTTTCAGAGGCGGGGACACCCGAAGGAACTTCACCGACCACCTCTACGCAGCTCTGATGAAGGCCGGAATCAACACTTTTAGAGACGACGACGCGATTGAGAGAGGGTCCCACATCGAATCCGAAATCAACACAGCCATTCAAGAGTCGAGAAGCTCCATCGTCGTGCTCTCCAGAGACTACGCCTCTTCCAGATGGTGCCTCGACGAGCTCCGTCTCATCATGAAACTGAGGAGAACTGCGGGCCACATTGTGCTGCCCGTTTTCTACGATGTCGACAAGCGCCAAGTCCAGAATCAGAGTGGTAGCTACGGTGACGCGTTTGCCCGCCATTTGGTTGAATTTGGCCAGAATGAGATGGATATGGTTGAGGAATGGAAGGCTGCCCTTACTGAAGCTGCTGGCATTGGAGATTTGGTTCTCAGAGATGGGTAAGTAACTATTCACTTCCTAGGTTTTGGACTTTTGGTCAATTAGACACATGATTGCTGCTGCGCCAACATTGATTGAATCAGGATTCAAATTCATTAGGTCTTAATTTTGAATTTTGTCCTGTGGGTGATGATTGCAGCTATGAGTCTGAGTTTATTCAAAGTATAGTGACAGCGATTGCCAGGAAACTGAATCGAACAGTGCTGTCTGTGGATCCCTATTTAGTGGGGATAGATGATCGTACAGCTAATATCAACTCATGGCTCCAAGATGGGTCAAACGATGTTGGCATAGCGACAATCTATGGCGTTGGTGGGATTGGGAAGACAACCATAGCGAAAACGGTATACAACCAGAACTATGAAAAATTTGAAGCCACCAGCTTCCTTGCTGGTGTGAGAGAAGCTTCCGAGGAGCCACATGGTTTGGTCCGCCTGCAGAAGCAGCTGGTTTCCGATCTCTTGAAGACGAAAAGCAAGATTTACAGCGTCGATGAAGGTACATTGAAGATCAGAAATGCCATCTCTCGCAAGAGGGTTCTACTTGTTCTTGATGATGTGGACCGAATGGACCAGTTCCATGCAATCATTGGAATGAGAGAGTGGCTTTACCCGGGGAGTAAAGTGGTTATAACAACTAGATATGAGAGTTTACTGAAGGCTCGTGAAGTGAATCGCATCTTTACAGTGAACGAGCTGGATGTAGAAGAATCGCTTATGCTGTTCAGTTGGCATGCATTTGAGCAAGATCAGCCTGCTGAAGCCTTTGTGGAGGTCTCTAGAAGTGCTGTGGAGTTTTGCACCGGGCTGCCTCTAGCTCTTCAAGTTCTGGGCTCATCTTTGTCGGGTAAAAGTTTGGATATATGGGAGGTTGAGCTACAGAAAGTTAAAGCAGTACCGGACAGTAAAATCCAGTATATTCTCAAAGTAAGCTACGATACTCTTGATGATGATCATGATAAGAATGTGTTTCTTGATGTTGCCTGCTTCTTTACTGGAAAGGACAAAGATTATGTAGTCTCTGTGCTAGATGGATGTGGCTTCTACTCAGTTGTTGCGATTCACAATCTTATGATTAGGTGTCTTGTGAAAGTTGACGAGGAAAATAAGTTGCTGATGCATCAAATGCTGAGAGACATGGGGAGAGAGATTGTTCGTCAAGAATCACCTGAGGATCCAGGGAAGCGTAGTAGATTGTGGCGTCACAAAGATGCATTTACTGTACTGACTGAGGATCAGGTAAAGTGTTTTACTTCTCTTTTTATGATCTCTTTGAAACACATGATTGCATATACTCATTAATGATTTTTACTCCCCTATGCAGGGCACTGAAAGTGTCAAGGGTCTCAACTTGAACTTGCTGATGTTAAGGGATCCCAATCTTGGTGCTGGCACCATTGTCCCTTACCAAGGAAACTATCCAAAGCATGGCAAAGTTGGCTTCTTTCCTTGGTATGCAAATGGGTCTGGAAGTTCAGTAATCCTCAAGCCAAGGGCCTTTGCTAAGATGGGAAAACTGAAGTTGCTCCAACTCAATTACGTGAAAGTTGGTCGGGATTATGGCAACTTCCCGAAAAGCTTGGTATGGTTATTTTGGCGTGGATTGTCCTTGAAATATCTGCCAGAAGACTTTCACTTGGAGAAGCTTGTTGTTCTTGATATCCGTAACAGCAGGCTGGTAAATCTTTGGAAAGGGACCCGGGTATGTATGAGTTTGTATTCTCCTACAGTCCTACTTTACTTTTACACTCTGTCTGCCAGTAGTACTTATATGCTTAAATCCTTGCATACAACTGAAGATCTAACTATCGAGAATTTTTTTCCTTTTGCAACAGTTCCTTGTAAAACTGAAAGTGCTCAACCTCAGTCATAACCCTGGTCTTGTTAGGACTCCTGACTTCCGAGGACTTCCTTCTCTAGAGACATTGAAGCTGAAAGATTGTGTGAAATTGGTGGAAATTGATGAATCCATTGGAACCCTTCAGAAGCTCATTTCTCTAAGTCTAAAGCAATGCACAAACTTAATGAAGTTGCCAAAACAGATCAGTTCACTGAAATCCCTCAAGAAACTCAATGTATCAGGCTGCTCAAAACTTCATCAATTACCAAATGAGTTGAGGGAAATGGAATCACTGAGGGTCTTTTATGCTGATGGAATGGGTATAAATAATGAGCTATCTGATTCAAAAGAATCTTGGTACTCAGCCTTGGTGTCTCGGATATTGCCTCGAAAGAATCCACATTCAATCAGCTTTTCACTTGCAGTTCTGCCTTCCTATTTGCTGGAGTTGAGTCTAGCAGATTGCAACTTGTCTGATGGGTCTCTTCCTGGAGATCTCAGCTGCCTCTCTGTGCTGCAAAATTTAGACCTCAGAGGAAACCCCATTAGCTCACTTCCTGGAAGCATTGACAAGCTGACTAAGCTCGAGTCCCTCACCTTAGACAGATGCACAGGTCTCCAGTCACTACCGAAACTTCCACCGAGCTTGGAGGAATTGAAAGCTGAAGGCTGTACATCACTGCAAAAGATCGCCAATCTACCAAACTTGCTCATAAATCTGCAAGTGGAACTTTTTGGTTGTAGCGAGCTAGCTGAAGTGGAAGGCTTGTTCAAGTTGGAGCCAATCGCAGATGTCGACAGTGAAACACTGCACGAACTTGGCTTATTCGATTTCGAACCACTCCAAAGCATTGAAATTACCATGTTCAATTCCATTGCAAACAGAGAAAGGCAGACTTCTCCTCAGGTTCACAAATCCATCCTTCAACCTTAACTGTTCCCTAGTCGGCTAGTTTCATCTAACTACTCGACTCTGAACTCTGCTTCAGGTACTGCGGGAATGTGGCATATCCAGCACTTTCCTTCCAGCTAGTCAGCTTCCTGACTGGTTGAGCGATACAACCATGGGGTCTTCACTCTCCATACAAGTGACTCCCCCTCCTAGCTCCACTCACGAGATGCGCGGCCTAACTTTATGCGTTGTATATGCTCGCGACGATGAGGTATTCTGGCTGCACGCAGCTGGACATTACGCCAACGTCCATAACGAGACAACGGATATAAACTGGTCATATAGCCCAACCTTCTACGGGATCCCAGACGAGGATGGTGATGAAGAAATGGTTTGGCTGAGCCACTGGAAGTTTGGAGACGAGCTGGAAGTAGGGAACAAGCTGAACATTTCAGCTCGGATGCCTGCTGGATATTGCGTGAAACAGTGTGGTGTTCGTGTAGTTTACAGCGACGTGGAAGAAGCCACAGAAGGTCAATCAAATCGGTCTGTCTGGGGAAGTAATAAGATCACTGACAGAGACTTGTATGCGTATCAGGTGGGAAGGTCTGTTTACTTCCTTCACCATCATCCTTATACGACGCCAGCTGATATATTGAAGTTGGCCAGTTTGTGACCTTCCTTCCTCCAAACTGCTCTGCAGCAAAGGAATCCGAAGGTGCATGCGTCGAACTCGTTGTTTTCTGTCGTACTTTCTCAAACAAAAGCAGTTGTAATATATTAGTTTCTTACTGCCATGAAGTGCGGGCAAAAAAGTAGTTGTCACTTGTCAAGTTATGTCGTAAATTCATTGTATCTACTCCAAATCATCACTTCTAAGTTCTTTCTTAATCTTATTTTTTATTCTAAGATATGACAACATAGTACAACAAAAAAATGACTACCCAAGAAACCCTCTCCAATCTGAGAGCAACTCTAAATTAGATAAGAGGAAGGGCTTTTCATCATAATATGAGCAACTCAATTGACGATCTTAGGAGCGCACAAAACTTCAAGCCTATGTTTAGAGAAGCTATAATCTATAGGCGAACTCTGAGAATCAAGCCTATGTTTAGAGAAGCTATCATCTATAGGCGATCTATGAGAATCGATACTCGAATCGCATCGAATTTGTCCCTCTAAGAAGATGGCAAATAGCGACTTCCGGATCCCTCTTTGATCATAACTCCACGGATGTCGATGCTACGAATCAAGAGCCTATCGCCTCTGAGCGACTAGCAGTTAGGCCAGGTCCAGGTTGATAATTCCAGGAAGCTGAAGACCAAATCAGATTGTAGAAGATCATCTGTGAACTTCACCATCAAATCTGTAGCACAACCTCGATGAGAATAGACATCAGCGTCGAAGACATAACTAAGGTGACTTTGGTGACTCGTTAGAGTAACGAATTAGAATACTCCACCAATACAGATCCAACACTAAGGGCCAAATTCTCATCAGAAGAGGCAATCATTATTTGTGGCCCTAAAAGGTCCAGCGTCCCCCAACTTGGAGTCTTTTCAATAATGGTAACCACTTAGTATTTTACATCATTAGAATAGTAGAATACAGACCATCTAGTCCAACAACAAACTCATTCAATCATGATTCTTAATATGCGTCACCATGAGAGGTTCAAAGTTGAAACAAATTTGATGAGCTATTCATGGAAATGGCAGATCTATTCACTCTATTAATAATCGAGCTGGATCTGGTGTATTATAAGGGATTTGCTTTTTTTATTGTATCTGTTAATTAAATCTACTGACACTTGTTTTATATGTTGTAACTGTCTTCGTTCATCCTTGGAAACCTATTCAATTGTATTTTACTAACTACTATGTGTTTGTGTCCTTCTGATGACAGGTCGGCTAATCGAAGATATTTGTTTGGTCAGGCATTTTCCATCGCTGAACACTTCAAGAGTTCTTGGAAAAGTTTGGGCAAAGGAACAATAAAGAAGGAAGACGGAGAGAGTGAAAGTAAGGAGAAATTATAGTCAACGTATGAAATTCATTTTTATGATAAGAGAACTCTTAATCATACAAGTTGAAGAGTGGGTACATGGGTCAGGTGCTTGACATTAACAAACCATTAATACTATGATTTGGCCCTTATTATTCCTCTGTAAGTGCAAATCTTATTCATTTTGTGTATTAATTGTCTAGTTAAATGATATATGATTTTCATATCGTCTAATCAGAGTTGTCAAACCATCTTTGTAATGTACAACATCTGAGATTTTTGTAAAATCTTTCATTTTGTTGTTAGAATTTGTTATTTTTGAATATTTAGCGAAGTATTTGTTCAACTTTTTATTAGTGTGGTGTGATGCAAATAACCATATTATTAACATGCATGTGCTGTAGTACGATCAAAAGATTTAAAATTTGAGTACGCAGGAAAACAATGAAGTGGAACAACAAAGCTGAAAAATGTGCTCCTAAAAGTACAAGACAAAAGTGATCTCCAGACTCCAAGCCTGATTATGCCACTAATTATTACGGCTCCTTTCACTACTACCACTAATCGCCTAACACGTGTACGGCGATCCCGAGATCCTGCGAAATAATATTCTCCAACAACAATGAATAGAGAACAAAACTGAAAACTCTAATAAGAAGAAATAATATATATAAAAAATTGTATAAATAGTTAAATACAAACACAATATAAGAAAAAAACAACCATAAAATAAAACAAGTAGGTGGAAGAATATTCTAAAAAGGGAAGGCCAAGAGAAATTTAGGTAGTAGAGTATAATACAAATTGAGTTAATGCCATTTACAGTCCTCGCATTATATCCTTTTAGCAAATATGTCACTCTTTAATTTGTCATATGTAGAATTGATAACATGGCTGGTTGAGGAACGTATCTCAATACTCACATTTGCTTCAATAAGTTTCATGACGGATCGGGATTGAATTTTAGTATTTTATCTCAAGATACTTGTCATGGTGGGTTCCGGTTGACTCATTCAAGTATGCATCTCGAGAAATAATACTCAACAAATTAATTTATTGATTGAAAAGTTGAGAAACTCTTGCTTAACGAAATAGAACATAATATATATGATGAGTGAATTCAGATTATTCAAAAATGGAAACTCCAATAATAGTAGCTACATTTGAGTTATAATATGACATTAGTAAAGAAACTATAAGTAATTTTACTACATTAATATATATCAAAGTTAGAAAAATGGATTGAGAATGAGGCATGGCAACATGATAACTCATCCTCCTCTTGTCCTAAAAATAAGTCATAACACATCTGTAAGACAGGTTAGGTCTAAATTGTCTTCTCCAGCCATATATTAATTTTCAAATGGTAGAATTCGGTTAAACGAAATTATATGAACCCACTATTTATGCTTACAAATTAAACTTTTCTAATTTACATGTCACATATGCTATAAATTTTGATTGTGCCCCTTGGTTCAACTCTTAAATCCTAATTGTGACCTTATATATCCCGCATAAATGAAATCCCAATTGTGCCCTTTGTTTGATCCAGTGGCGGATCCAGGGGGTGGCCACCCCGGGCCCCGGCCCAGTCTTCCTCTGGATCCATAGTTAGTATAGACCTTATGAATTTTTCGATTTTAGATATTCGGGTCGTTGTTATTTTAAAATAAGATTGGGTATAATTAGAAAAATAATTCAGATGAACATATTCAAAATCACTATTCTAAATTTAGCTTATTAATTCTAACCCCAAAGGTTATTCGTCTAAAAAAACAATGAAACCTAAAAATTCAAAAAGTTTAAAACGTAAAAGACTAAAACATATATGAGGTTTGTTACTTTGGAAAATTTACTAGAGCAGCTAGTGGATATAGGGATGGAAACACAATGGAAAATGATTAGTAGATTGATTTGTCTAGTGTTGATGTTGCTCGTTTCAACAGCTAATACGAATAGAACCTTTTCAACAACGAAACATGTGAAAATTGATTTGCGCAACAAAATGAGCGATGGATTTCTAGTCGATTGCTCAAGTATTTTATTTGAAACAGTGTATACTATTGGTATGGATGTGGACTCCATTATTAATGCATTCGCTAAATTAAAATACCGTCGTGTACAATTTACATTGTAAAAAAATTATAATCATTATATTTTTTTACTATTCTAATTTTCTAATAAAATGCGGCCCAGTGCACTTCTGTGTTCTGGATCCGCCGCTGGTTTGATCTTTTTCCCCATCATAAAAGCATGTGAAAGCACCACTACTTCATATCGTCAATTAGACGGGGCGTAGAAGGAAAAGGCTAAAAACGGATAAACAACATAATATAAGGTTGGTTTTGTCAAAGTTCTTAGTTGGTGCATGTGTTTGTCAAAATAACATAAACTATAGTGACTAAAAGGGTAAAAGGAAAAGGCTATATAACAATTTGTAATCATAGGAAAGTCTTTGGTGAGGGAAAAAAAGCAGAAGCCGCGAAATTGTAAATTCGCTTTCGCCATCAGTGCTCTTATTAGTCTCTACTTCTCTAGTTTCTAAACTGCAGCAAGGAAGAAGGACTTCCCAAGTTTTCTTCTCTGCTGCTCATTCACTCTCTTTCTGGTTTCCCCCCGTGATTAGTTTTCTTTCAGCAATGGCGATTTCCATGGACGAGTTCCTGAAGCAGTGCGAGCAGTCCGGCGACTCCGCTTACGCTGCTCTCCGCTCTCTGTTGGAGCGGCTGGAGAATCCGGCCACGCGCACTCAGTCTCGGATTTTCCTATCCGATCTTTACAAACGCGTCGGCGACTCCGATCAGTGCCTAGACAAATACCACTTCCGGATCCAAGACGTCGTCCTCGAACACGGAGGTGAAACTCTCTCTCTCTCTCTCTCTCTCTCCCTTGATTCAGCCAGCAATTTTGTTGATTCATTGGGGGGTCGTGTGTGAAAGAAGCCTTGCCGAATTCATTGCGTCCCTTTTATCGTTATTGCCGTAATGCCGTGTTAGGTTCGATTCGTGTTGACTGATGTTCTGTTTGGTTCCTGAGAAAAGGAGACGAGAAAGAATCTGGAAGGGGAATGAGATGTTGAACTCAGTCGCCGGGATTCGAATGTTTGTTACTTGGTGATTACTCTAATCTGTTTGATTATATGTGTCCTTCGATTATGCTCTCTTCGGCGTTGCAGCAGATTGCTTTGGAGTTTAGATTTCAGTTTACCAGTATAGGCGTGTTTTTCAAGAAAACGTAAAACGAGGCCCTATCCCCGATCATTGATTAGCGATTGAAAAAGAGACTCCCATTTGCGAGGTCTTGTATTACTTGGATTTTGTCCTCTCCTCAGCCGGTGGCCATTGGACTGGGAATCTACTGCCGAATTCCGTTATTTTATTCTACCACTTGTGCTGTGCTCTATTATTGGTTAAAACCCACGAAGTCACCTAAAATATGTCACTCTTTGCATTTCCACAGCTGACCAAGGGAGAAAGAAGTTGACAATGGTGGTTATTCCTAGCATATTTATGCCCGAGGACTGGTCATTCACCTTCTATGAAGGACTTAACAGACACCCAGATGCTATTTTCAAGGACAGGACAGTTGCAGAACTTGGTTGTGGGAATGGATGGATATCCATTGCAATTGCTGACAAGTGGTTGCCTGCCAAAGTTTGTTGCTTATATACTTCTACCGCTCATTCCCTCTAGTGCATTCGTCTGGAAATGTTGTAATTGATTGGGGAACTTGCATTTTTCAGGTATATGGCCTTGATATTAACCCAAGAGCTATAAAGGTTTCCTGGATAAACTTGTACTTAAACGCATTAGATGACAAAGGTCAGCCCATCTACGACGAAGAAAAGAAAACTTTGCTGGACAGAGTAGAGTTCTATGAATCTGATCTATTATCTCACTGTAGAGACAATGACATTCAACTTGAACGAATTGTTGGATGCATACCTCAGGTATTATTGTGCCACGCCTATGCTGCACTGGAAATTCAAGAACTACTGAAGTATGTTACTTTCATTGTGTGCCTGACAATTTTGGCTTGCTCTTGTTCTCTATCTTCTTGCAGATTCTAAATCCAAACCCAGATGCCATGTCCAAAATGATCACAGAGAATGCGAGTGAAGATTTCCTGTATGATTTAAGCAACTATTGTGCTCTTCAGGTAGGAAGATATTCACCAAGATCTACTTACCGAATTGTTAAGTTTAGATGCTTTAACAAAATTTGAATAGAACGTTTGTTCCTGCACTGTTGATAGAGCACCTATCTAAAAAGCATCATGGGACTCAGTATTATTGGCTCTTAGATGTAATACAAGTTTCCTTACCTTGGGTTGTATGCTGCCATAAAATTGTATGTCTTAGTGACCGAGTAATGTTATGTGTTAAACGTTTTTCTTCAAAATTCATGCTTCTAAAGGATTAGTTTAGCCAGGTGTGAGTGACTGGGATGTGTCCTGCCACATATTTGGGCATGTGGTTCCAGGGTTTGTGTGGAGTTCACTTGATGACCCTGTTTTTCTATGTGTATAGGGCTTCGTTGAAGATCAATTTGGCCTAGGTCTGATTGCCAGGGCAGTTGAGGAAGGAATAGACGTCATCAAACCTATGGGTATTATGATCTTTAACATGGGTGGCCGTCCAGGACAAGCTGTCTGTAAGCGTCTGTTTGAACGTCGTGGTTTTAATGTCAATAAGCTTTGGCAAACAAAAGTGATACAGGCAAGAATGGCTCCCAACATAAACAAAATTTTCCGCATGTGTAAGGCATTCCTCTTGAATGTGTGTTATGTTTGTACAGGCTGCTGATACAGATATTACGGCCTTGGTTGAAATTGAAAAGAACAGTCCTCATCGTTTTGAGTTCTTCATGGGGCTTACTGGTGATCAGCCCATCTGTGCTCGAACAGCATGGGCATATGGGAAAGCTGGTGGTCGTATTGCTCATGCCTTGTCAGTTTATAGTTGTAGATTGCGTCAGCCACAACAGGTACGTACCTCGGCTAGTCATCTTGTCTTTCAACTGAATATCATTCTTGCTTCTATGCACTTGGAGTGATATTATTCTATTTTTATTTGTTCCTTTTTTCATGAATATGACACTATATATTCTTATTCGACAGGTCAAGAAAATTTTCAAGTTTCTTAGGAATGGTTTCCATGATGTGGGAAGTTCTTTGGACCTGTCTTTTGAAGATGATGCTGTTGCAGATGAGAAGATACCATTCCTAGCTTATCTCGCTGGCGAATTAAAAGAGAATTCGAGTTTTTCGTACGAGCCACCAGCTGGAAGCTTGCAGTTCCGCAATCTCATTGCCGGCTTTATGAAAACATATCACCATATTCCACTGAAGTCCGATGTAATAATCATTACTCAGTTTATGCCTATTTTCTCGCTTCATGCATGAAATTGCTGCAATGCTGTTATCTTTGTCTGTCTTCTTGTTTAATAGATGTATGAAGTATGAAAGTTATGCAACTAATCTTGTATGTCATGATACTTCCTCCGGTCCCCTTAAAAGCCATGTTCCCAAATTTACCTGCAGGAATGTAAAGAAGGGTTTACTAGACATAGAAAGAGTAATTTAGTTTCTATTTATTTGTCATCCTAGAATTTCTGCAGATGCTATGTACCAACAAGTTACTCCCTAGTTTGTATCAATTGTGATGGAAATCTGCTTGCACCTTGGAATGTGCAGTTTTGTTTACGCTTGATAGCTTACATGATTATGTCTGACTTTGGTAGCAGCTAGGCTAAGTTGTTCCTTCAGTACCTCGCTAATGTTTGTGACATTTATCTGACTAGTTTTCAACTCTGGTTCCAGAATGTTGTGATCTTTCCCTCAAGGGCTGTGGCAATTGAACATGTTCTTCGACTATTCTCGCCTCGTCTAGCAGTTGTCGATGAATACCTAACTCGTCATCTTCCCCGACAATGGTTGACATCTTTAGTAATTGAGGTATGTTACCTATGAAATTCTTTTCTGTTTTCAAGGTATCATGGCTGAAGTTTACTCATTTTCTACATTCAATTTTTGTAAAATTCAAATGACAGTGAAAATTCTTATACCCCAAAAATGAATATAATCTAATACATCCTTTTTGTTGACTGTTTTGGTCATCTTCATCTGCTGTAGTAACCTACCGTTGTTGCTATATGCATTGTTTTGTTTAACTGATTCCAAGAGTTTTCAAATGTTTATTCCCCGATGATTTTTGGCCTTCAGTCTTCTATACTTAATTTATGTCTCATTCATATTTCTTATGTTATAGAGTACTCTGTCATTGATGCTGTTCTCTCTCTTTTGTCGGAATTTAGGAAAAAATCTATTTGACCTATTGGTTTGCATTTCTTCAAAATCTAATTAATGACGAGGTGTATTAGAAATAGATGTTATCAACTTATCATAATTCATACAATCAACTCTTCTTGACTGTTCTGTTGCTACTTATGTTCCCTTAGACCTCTACTGTCATTGTTTTGAAACCTTCATCACAAAGTAAATCAACTAACTGAATTAACTTGCATGACTTTCAAGAAGTAGCATTGTCTGAATCTGGGGACTCCTGTCTTTTCAATTAACACTCTTGCTTTCTTGTTTTTGCCCCCCTGTTTCTGAATATTGCAGGCTTCTGAAAACAATGGATTAAAAGATGGGATTACTGTGATTGAAGCACCGAGACAGTCGGATCTAATGGTGGAACTGATAACAAAGTTAAGGCCACAGGTGGTGATTACTGGGATCGCTCAGTTTGAGGCGGTCACTAGTTCAGCATTTGTACACCTTTTAGATGTTACCAGACAAATTGGCTCTCGTCTTTTCTTGGACATATCTGACCAGTTTGAGCTATCAAGCCTTCCAAGTACCAATGGAGTCCTAAAATATCTTGCAGGAAATGTATTGCCGTCACATGCTTCAATAGTGTGTGGTCTTGTGAAAAACAAGGTATTTTTTTCGTCTCAATTGTGGTTGTCATGTTGCAGGAACTTTGTTCCATGCTTCTTACAATTTCCTCTTCTCATTTGTTCTTAATGCATTGACTGGAATCTATGCTATGTTGATGAAATGTTTGGAACTTGAACTCACCTTCTCCTTTTCAGCTATGGATTGCACTAAGATAGGAATCTGTGTGGTTTTCAGGTTTATTCAGATCTAGAAGTCGCATTTGTGATCTCTGAAGAAGAAGCCATCTTGAAGGCCTTGTCCAAAACAGTGGAAGTACTAGAGGGGAATACTACGCCAATTAGGCAATATTACTATGGCTGTCTTTTCCACGAGCTTCTGGCATTTCAACTTGCTGATCGTCATCCACTTACAGAGGTTTGCACATTACTCTCTTCCACTATCATCTGAAATGAATTTTCTTTTTCCCAAATATGTTCAATCAAGCTCCTTCCATAAATCTGGGAGCAAAGTTCACTAACTGTAGTCCTTTACCAAATTCACAGAGGGATTCTAGCAAAACCAAATCAGTTGAGGTGATAGGATTTGCAAGCTCAGCCACCTCCGTTCTTAATAATTCTGAACTGTCAATTGGTGAGGAAGAGAAGTCATCAGCCCTAATTCACATGGATGTAGACCAAAGCTTCTTGCCTACACCATCAGCTGTTAAGGCCTCAATCTTTGAAAGTTTCGCAAGACAGAACGTGGGAGAGGGTGAAGTTGATGTGAACCCTAGCATCAAACAATTTGTTAAAAGCAACTACGGATTCCCAACCGACAGCTCGTCCGAATTTGTGTACACTGACACAACACAAGCTATATTCACTAGGTTGGTCCTATGCTGCAATCTAGAAGGTGGGACGCTATGTTTCCCATCTGGCTCGAATGGGAACTATATCTCTTCGGCCAAGTTTCTGAAGGCAAGCATTGTCACCATCCCTACTGACTCCGAGGGGTTTAAGCTGACAGACAAGCAACTCAACAAAGTGCTCGACACTGTGAAGAAGCCTTGGGTGTACATTTGTGGTCCAACTACAAATCCAACAGGATTGATCTATAGCAATAAAGAGATGGAGAGTATATTAACCACTTGTGCCAAATTTGGGGCACGGGTTATCATTGATACTTCATTCTCGGGGTTGGAATTTGATTGTAAAGCTTGGGGTGGATGGAATTTGGAGGCCACGCTATCAAGTCTTGCATCCTCCAACCCTTCTTTTTGCGTCTCCCTTCTCGGAGGAATGTCTCTGAAGATGTTCACTGGTGGACTGAAATTCGGGTTTCTGATTCTGAATCATCCTGCTTTGGTCGATGCGTTTTATAGCTTCCCTGGGTTGAGCAAACCTCATGCCACCATGAGGTATGCTGTAAGGAAATTGCTGGGTCTGGCAGAGCAGAAAGTTGAGGAACTGACCAATGCAGTTGCTGAAAACACCAAAACTCTGAAATCTAGAGCCCAGCGCTTGAAGGAGGTAAAAATGATGCTTTACAATACAGCACCCTCGTTTTCCAATACATTTTATTTCTTACGTTTATACGATGGATTGCTTGCTTGCTTGCAACAGACGCTAGTGAAATCCGGGTGGGATGTGGTGGAGCCTCAAGGCGGCATTTCCCTGGTGGCGAAGCCCTCTGCATATCTGAACAAGGTGGTGAAGTTCAGCAGCACATCCGAGTTTAAGGTTGATGAGTCGAACATCAGGGAAGCCATTTGCCGGGGGACAGGCCTATGTATCAACAGCGCGTCGTGGACAGGTCTCCCTGGCTATTGCCGCTTCACTACTGCACTGTCCGATGCAGATTTCGAGCGAGCATTGGATTGCATCAGGAGACTCAAGGACGCCCTCAAAGGCTGAAAAAAATGATGGCGGTATTGCATTTGCATATGGATGCTTCAAGTGGAAGGAGTGGTTTGGCTGGCAACTCATTCAGTTGTCAGAAATAAAAAGGAATCCATAAACCGAATTTCAGAAATCCCCATCTGGTCCTGGCTGTTGTAACCTCAGAGCTCAAACAATGTGATTGAGCTTTCCCAATTGCTGTTGTGGAACCGCTACTGTTGTCTGGTATCATCGGCTCACTGATTATATCATACCTGACTACTTCTTTGTACCGCGCTTATACTCGATTGTGATCGAACTTGAATCTCAACTTTATGTTATTCTACATCAAGCCGCATACGTTCAAGATTACGCTGATCCATGGTGATTGAGTAAACTGCCTTGCTGATAGCCACCTTTTTCCTATTCATAGCTGATTCTCGCGCTGTTGTTCAAGATCAAGCGTTTCTTTCGTGACAAGTAATATTCCGTCACGAATGATTAGAATAATAGAGCCCAGCTCGAGCTACCTGTTCAGCCCATCTCATACGTAACCGTGACGAGCGGCCCAGCCCAACCCGAAAGCTAACCGTTGCGAGGCAAAATCATAACAGGCTACCCTCCGATATTTCAACGCATGAGACTCACACCACAGAGGGGATATAAACTTCGATGCGGTTTATAAGAATGAACTAGCGTGGGCCCCGGCCAGTTGGCCGGAGGAAGGTGAGGTATGAAATTTGATAATGTAATGGGGTGTATAGCTTATTGTTGTATAGTTTTTTTTTTTTGGAAACTCGTGATAAAAATAGTGAATTTTAGCAGGAAAGAGACATGAATGATGCAATGAATCAAAAATTGGCATTATAAACCAAAATCAAGTACATGTTAACTTGTGAAACAATATTGTTTCTGGTAATATGATGAGGTGGAGTAAGTTTTATAAAAACCGAATTCCAGAAAATTGAATAAAAAATCGCCTATCCCGTCGGTTTTCGGGAAATGAGCATCTCACAATCGTTGCTAGCTTTTACTCGGCCTGTTGATCGATTAATTTGCTTTATAAATCTTTCATCTTGTCGTCATTGTGCTTTCTGATTTTTGTTAGGCCATGATAAAATCTAAGAAAATCAAGAACGAACAACACGATTTGGGATAGGAACCGCCGTTGTCGTATCCCTAGCAAATGTTGGTAAACACAGACTCACCTGCCAAACTGGTTTGGATTGAGATTTTTATCGGGAATCAGGGAACCATGTGATTATGAATTAGACTTGATCAAAACGTACCAAAACTTGAAATTCAGCATGTTTGACAGACCCATGCCAAATTCTAATTATTCTTTACTTTTAAACTTTCTATTTGAAAATAAAAAATAGTGAAAGAAAAGAGATGACTGCAATTCGCCATTTGCACATCACTTATTCGGGAATTAAACCATAAAAATTCAAAAGGAACTGAAAATGTTTAGGATCATTTTAATGTTTAAAATAACCACATAGATCGTTCTGTTTAGTTTTTTACTAACAAATACCAAACGATTACCTATATAATACACTATAATTTGATCATTATGATATCAAATAATTATATAATATATTTATGAAATGATAAAAATTGGACTAATTGGGTTGGTCGAGGTTGAACCATTGAATAACTTTAAAATACATTATATTTTAGCCACTAAGATATAAAATAATAGCATAATAAATATTATGCCAAAGAAAATAGCTTGTTTTAGAATGACAAACCAATGATGTTCATTTGTTTTACTTGATGGCCAAATCTCGTGTAGGTCAGGCTCATTCAACTCTTTTATTTTATGGTTAGCGGTTAGCCGATTAGATACCATGCATTAGTTTATTGTTAAATTTTTATATTTTTAGCAATAAAAAAGAGTATTGTTTTTACCTTTTCTTATATATTTTATAACCACAGAGAAATGAAAGTGCTTAAAGAAAAAAATTGACACTCCTGGACCCGTTTAAATCCGCATGTGTACCGTAAGTTGGCCCGTTCCACAGAGGAAAGAGAAAAATTGACACTCCCTATTCTACCATTCCTACAAACACTCCTGGAGTAGGGAATTTGAAATGGGGGAGTGGTTTTTTCCTCCCCGCTATTATATGTTTTTAATTTAAAAAGATACAACAAATGTACTTAGTGTGATTGGTTATGATCCTTGCTTTTCTTTAAAATGGTCATGGTTCAAATCTCAGTACGTGTCTTTTTAATGAATATAAAAAAGTAATTGTGAAGACCAAAATGTCCTTCTGACTTTCACTCTCGTTGCAGGAAATTTGAAATGGAGCTCCCGTTTTTCCCTTCGGTGTATTATATTATGTGTAGATATGGACTATACGCAACACCAGGTAGTGTAAAGTAAAGGAGAGAAGACCTAAGCAACGTTATTAAGCGGCTAACTATACACAAGTATAATAGATAGATAAAAGACACTCTGAATTCGCAACATAACCTGACATTATATTCGTATTAATATTGTATTAGGTTATTATTTTCTTATTGAGTAACATCTCAACCCATCAATATTTTTGCTCACAAATTCAGGGTTAGTGCCAATGGACTTAGACGTGCAAGTGAAATCAGTCGAAGGGCTAGGAGACGAGTGGCGGAACTGAACTCTCCACATGCTTACCTTTAAATACGAAACGAAACTGAACTCTCCATATAATTATAGAGGATGGATATAGAAAATGAGCATAAAATGGTAAAGAGAAACTGAAAAACTAGCATACATGACAGGGTGTTACACAGTATTCACTTGAGATGGCTCGGGCGAACAAGAGGAACGGACTAGTGGTGGTGGATTGGAGGATTGGCGCTGATGGAGAAGGGTTAGGGAAGCGCGGCCGCCGGGGAGGTGGTCGTAGGGATTGAATAGAAGAGTTATCATATCACTAGTTGGGTTATGGTTGTTATATGACGTGGTGGGTCCGGTTTAAATTGTTTCGAATTAAATTAAGATGATTAGGTGGTTCTGTTAGTCATGACTGCAAATAACAAACTTAATTAATGGAGACTGAAGAAAGGTAACAATAAATGACCAAACTTGAACTATTAAAGTAATTTTAGTGACTTAAAAATAGTGACTAAACACAAAAAAAATTATATTTATAATCTCGGCGATCAACTTGCAATTTACACACTAATATGTAAAAGCCCTTCACGAGTTGTGAACAACACCATGTTCTAGTCCTTAAGCCTCATTCTTTAAGGAGAATCCTAAAACCTTCCTATTGGCTAATAGTGGATTAGGGACTTAATTGACGGTTGATAGTTAATAAGTAGATGAGGATAAATAGAGTGTTATGCAAATATAATTAATATTAATAATTAATGATTATCTTTCTCTCCCCATGATCTTCTCCATAACCCTCTTTATCCACAACAATTAAAAGGAAATTCGAAACTATTTACTTTGCTTGGTTTTCATTCTGCTTTCCTTTTTCTCTTTCACTTTTTAAATATAAATATTTAATTAACGTACAACGGGAAATCTCGGTGGGAAGACAAGTCTTTATTTATTGAGCACCCAAGTCCCAGCCCTGTTTATGAGGATAATATTTTATATTAATTAATTATTATTCCCCGCTTGGCAAACAGAAAACAACCATCGTTTTTCCAGCCTCTCCCATCACCAGCCTTTGCTCACTTCTGTTCCCTCATAATCCGATCGAAGAAAGTCAAGAAACGTTCGATTTCACTCAAGATCAAGTCAAGGAAAGTGAAGAACGCTCAACCCAGGTAGCTTCTCCGTAGTTTGTGATCTAATTTCCTCGTCACCACCAAGCAATTATGCTAATTTGCCTCTTCTGACTACCTTCTTCTTCGTTAATCTTCCAGCTTGAACGAGGTCAAGATGACCCAAAGCCACTATCTTTCTGCGGTGGTGGCGGAGGAAGTCCTATCTGGTGGTTCCCCTGCCGGATAGTGGGATTCCATGGACGTCGATCCAACCATCTTGTAATTTTCTTTTCCCTTTTCTGATATGTTCCTTTCGGTTCATCTCTACGGTTCCTCTTCTGACTACCTTCTTCTACGTTAATCCTCCAGATTGAAGGAGGACAAGATGACAAAAAATCATGATCTTTCTGCGGCGGCGGCGGAAGTCCTATTTGGCGGTGCCTCTCCTAGCAAAAGGGAGACCAAGGACGTCGTTCCCAGCATCTCGTAATTCTCTTTTCCCTATACTGCCCTATTTCTTTCAGTTCGCCTCTAGGATTCCTCTTTTGACTACCTTCTTCTTCTTAGTTACTATTCTGGATTGAAGGAGGACAAAATGATGGAAAACCATTATCTTTCTGCTGCGGCGGAAGTCTTGTCTGGTTGTGCCTCTGCCAGCGAAGGGGAGACCAATGACGTCCATCCAACTATCTCGTAATTCTCTGTTCCCTTTTCTACCTTGTTTATTTTGGTTCATCTCTAGGGTTCTAATCGTATACTTATGGCTTCATCTCTAGGGTTCTAATCATAATCTCATTGCCTCATTGCTTCATTTTCATATTTTGTCCTTTCTCTTGGCGTTAATCTCCAGGCTTCCAGTCTTTTACCATTGCTTCGTTTCCCAAGATTTTGAGATTGTTCCCCCTTCAGAAACCCATTAATGTCCCCCTCTCAATTTGATTTTAGATCGTTCCCTACTTCTTTTAGCTGAGATTATTACTAATGTGTGCACTTTTAACAATGCATTTTTTTGGTTTATTTACTTAAGCAATACGCTCATTCTTCTCTATGTTCTGTGCATTGTATCCCACCATTAGACTCCTGAAATCAAACTTGCCCATTAATTTATTAATTAAAACTCTCCAACTCACTGGATCTTTCCTCTACCAGAGTGTTTAGCTTTAATTTACCGTCAATAATAATAAATAATAATAATCTTGTCGGGGCTTGATGTGAGATCCTTCCTCTCTAATGACTGCGATATGATTAATGTCCCCCTTCAGAAACCCATTAATGTCCCCTCTCAATTTGAGATCGTTCCCTACTTCTTTTAGCTGAGATTATGATCATTGTCATGTGATAAACCTCCAGGACCGTTCTCTTCATGTCATTTTGTATGGGCGACTGTCCATTCCCCTTGTTCTCATCTAGGAGAAAGAAGCCGAAACCATTTGTTCGTAAATTCCTTGCTGAAAAGATTAGTTAGAAGATTAGCCATGAAGTGTCTCCGATTGTTCTTGCATTTTGACCCTGATATTCTTTTTTCCGCAACAGCTTTGTCGGAGCCCCCACTGAGGATTCGAGGTTTGAGTCTTTTGTATTTTTCAACTTATGATGTATCTGAGGCTCTTCCATCTCCCGATATGGTCTAATTGATCATTGTTTCTTTTTTCTTGGTTCTCAATAAGCTTGCCAGAAATAACTGATAGAATGCTTGGAAGGTGTGAGTCGTATTGGGAGATCCGTTTTGTATCCCAGTTCGTCTCCAATCTAATAATTTCTTCCGGCTTGTGCCTCCAAGCAACTGTCCTGCAAAGCCTAGCAGTGAGGCTCGAGAACCAAGTTAATCCTTTACTCTCTGAGGTGGTTGGGGGGGGGGGGGAGTGTTATTCAACAGATTTGGTGCCACCTCAGTTTCCATCAAGATCACTCCTTCCTCAGTAATGATGCCCATGTGTTCGAAAATTTCCATTCCTGGGCTGCTGGAGCACCAGAGCCTACAACTATACAGCAGGACCGTCTGATTCTTAGGGCACAACCTCTATTTTGTGGTGCAACTGGAGACTTACTAAGCTTACCTACATACTCCGAGGACATTAACCTTTCCTCATTGTTCCCACTGTCCAACTTCATTTGCAACATTCAGCAAGCTACCGATAGTTGCAATATTTCTTCGAGATCGTAGGACAGAAGCGAAACTTGAGTTGCAGCACAACATTATTTCGAAACTAATTTAATTGAATATTATTATTTAAAATTTACTAAAATTTGAATTTAATATTTTTTAAAATGAAAATTGAAAATAAAAAAATATATGTCATCTCTCACTTCGTGGCAACTTGAATTTAATACTAACATTTTGCAATTTATGAAATTAATTATTAGGGTTTCTTGTTGCATGGGTTTAGCGTCTTTTCGTGGTTAAATATTCATTTGTGTTATTATTAATGTTGTTCGGCAGTTTTTTTATAATAATGTTATATGTCATTATTAATTTGTTGGTACTTGAAGTTCAGTCACTATAACATTATATCATCAATTTAGTTCACAATGCTTTATCATCATTTGAAGTGCTATTATCAATTTTTTTTCCGAAAAACTAATAGTTTTTTATATTAATGTTTGCTTGAGTAAATCACAGGTGCACTATGTCGCAGGTGTTGAAGATGTTGAAAAAACAGCATTGTGAATGATACTGGAGAATGATAATGTACAGAAATATCAATTGATTGCAAAACTTAACAATACCATTAGAAATCATTAGTAGAGATCATGACTATATAGTTATAAACATGACGTGCAAATGTGAATCATTAGTAAAGATGTTGTAAATCAATAATATTATTATTTAAACTATTAATGACTATGTTACATAACTTTAATGATTCATTCATTAGCGTTGACGACGAAAATATAAAATAGTAACAATTGATCCAAAATTGTTAATAATGTATTGGTACAAAATTGATAAGCATATTCGTTAATAAAGATTTATTCATAAACGTTGATAATGTCATTGCAAAACGTTAATACTACATTGCTAGTTCCACGAAGTGAGAGAGCACATATTTTTCATTTTAAAAAATGAAAAATATTAAGTTCAAATTCTATTAAATATTAATATTTAATTAGTTTAATTTTGAATTTCATTTTAATTTTAGTGGAGAAAGAGGATTATTGAGAAAATTAAGGAAGGAGAGATAAAGATAATCATTAATATTAATTTATATTTGTATAACACCCTATTTACCCTTAACTACCTATTAACTACTAACCACTTATTAACTACTTAATCCACTATCAACCAATAAAAATGCTTTAAGATTCTTCTTAAAGAAAAAGGTTTAAGGACCGGATCTAACCCGCCCGGTTCTTGTATCCAACAACTCTTTAGCATTTGTGTATGATAAAAAGAATGGAGAAGATTACTAGGAAAGTTATGGCATGCATCAAACTATATATGGACAAAGAAAATGTCATAGAATGTTGTCTAAGTTACAACTACTTCTAAAAATTTCATGCATTGTTAAAATGATGATCTAGGTTACAACTACTTCTAAAAATAAAAAAGAAAACTACGATAAACTAATTCATTCTTCTTCTCATAAAAAAACACGAAGCACAAGATACATTTTTATAGCTAACGATCGAAACTCTGAATTCTGGAACTAATACTAAAAGGGTCGTTTGGTTTTGGTGATAGATAGTTCAGGTGAGATTGTTACAATGTGTGCACTTTTAAGTTTAACAATGCACTTTTTTTGTTTATTTACTTAAGCAATACGCTCATTCTTCTCTATGTTATGTGCATTGTATCCCACCACTAGACTCCTGAAATCAAACTTGCCCATTAATTTATTAATTAAAACGCTCCAACTCACTGGATCTTTCCTCTACCAGAGTGTTTAGCTTTAATTTATCGTCAATAATAATAAATAATAATAATCTTGTCGGGGCTTGATATGAGATCTTTTCTCTCTAATGATTGCGGTTCTATAAATGTCCCCCTTCAGAAACCCATTAATTTCCCCCTCTCAATTTGAGATCGTTCCCTACTTCTTTTAGCTGAGATTATGATCATTGTCATGTAATAAACCTGTATGACCGTTCTTTTCATGTCATTTTGTATGGCCGACTGTCCATTCCCCTTGTTCTCATCTAGGAGAAAGAAGCCGAAACCATTTGTTCGTAAATTCCTTGCTGAAAAGATTAGTTAGAAGATTAGCCATGAAGTGTCTCCGTTTGTTCTTGCATTTTGACCCTGATATTCTTTTTTCCTCAACAGCTTTGTCGGAGCCCCCACTGAGGATTCGAGGTTTGAGTCTTTTGTCTTTTTCAACTTATGATGTATCTGAGACTCTTCCATCTCTCGATATGGTCTAATTGATCATTGTTTCTTTTTTCTTGGTTCTCAACAAGCTTGCCAGAAATCATTGATAGAATGCTTGGAAGGTGTGAGTCGTATTGGGAGATCCGTTTTGTATCCCAGTTCGTCTCCAATCTAATAATTTCTTCCGGCTTGTGCCTCCAAGCAACTGTCCTGCAAGGCCTAGCAGTGAGGCTCGAGAACCAAGATAATCCTTTACTCTCTGAGGTGAAGGGGGGGGGGGTTATTCAACAGATTTGGTGCCACCTAAGATCACTTCTTCCTCAGTAATGATGCCCATGTGTTCGAAAATTTCCATTCCTGGGCTGCTGGAGCACCAGAGCCTAAAGCTATACATCAGGACCTTATGCTTCTTAGGGCACCGCGTCTATTTTGTGGTGCAACTGGAGACTTACTAAGCTTACCTACATACTCCGAGGACATTAACCTTTCCTCATTGTTCCCACTGTCCAACTTCATTTGCAACATTCTGCAAGCTGCCGATAGTTGCAATATTTCTTCGAGATCGCAAGACAGAAGCGGGACTTGAGTTGCAGCACAACATTATTTCGAAACTAATTTAATTGAATATTATTATTTAAAATTTACTAAAATTTGAATTTAATATTTTTTTAAAATGAAAATAAAAAAAATATATGTCATCTCTCACTTCGTGGCAACTTGAATTTAATACTAACATTTTGCAATTTATGAAATTAATTATTAGGGTTTCTTGTTTCATGGGTTTAGCGTCTTTTCATGGTTAAATATTCATTTGTGTTATTATTAATGTTGTTCGGCAGTTTTTTTATAATAATGTTATATGTCATTATTAATTTGTTGGTACTTGAAGTACAGTCACTATTACATTATATCATCAATTTAGTTCCAATGCTTTATCATCATTTGAAGTGCTATTATCAATGTTTTTTTTCGAAAAACTAATAATTTTTTATATTAATGTTTGCTTGAGTAAATCACAGGTGCACTATGTCGCAGGTGTTGAAGATGTTGAAAAAATAGCATTGTGAATGATAATGAAGAATGATAATGTACAAAAATATCAATTGATTGCAAAACGTTAACAATACCATTAGAAATCATTGGTAGAGATCATGACTAGGTAGTTATAAACATGACGTGTAAATGTGAATCATTAGTAAAGATGTTGTAAATCAATAATATTATTATTTAAACTATTAATCACCATGTTACATAACTTTAATGATTCATTCATCAGCGTTGACGACGAAAATATAAAATAGTAACAATTGATCCAAAATTGTTAATAATGTATTGGTACAGAATTGATAAGTATATTCGTTAATAAAGATTTATTCATAAACGTTGATAATGTCATTGTAAAACGTTAATACTACATTGCTACTTTCCACGAAGTGAGAGAGCACATGGAAAATATTAAGTTCAAATTCTATTAAATATTAAATATTTAATTAGTTTAATTTTGAATTTCATTTTAATTTTAGTGGGGAAAGAGGATTATTGAGAAAATTAAGGAAGGAGAGATAAAGATAATCATTAATATTAATTTATATTTGTATAACACCCTATTTACCCTTAACTGTCTATTAACTACTAACCACTTATTAACTACTTAATCCACTATCAACCAATAAGAATGCTTTAAGATTCTTCTTAAAGAAAGAGGTTTAAGAACCAGATCTAACCCGGGATCTAACCCGCCCGGTTCTTGTATCCAACAACTCTTTAGCATTTGTGTATGATAAAAAGAATGGAGAAGATTACTAGGAAAGTTATGGCATGCATCAAACTATATATGGACAAAGAAAATGCCATAGAATGTTGTCTAAGTTACAACTATTTCTAAAAATTTCACGTATTGTTAAAATGATGATCTAGGTTACAACTACTTCTAAAAATACAAAAGAAAACTACGATAAACTAATTCATTCTTCTTCTCATAACAAAACACGAAGCACAAGATACATTTTTATAGCTAACGATCAAAACTCTGAATTCTGGAACTAATACTAAAAGGATCGTTTGGTTTTGGTGATAGATAATTCAGGTGAGATTGTTACAATGTGTGCACTTTTAACAATGCATTTTTTTTGCTTTATTTACTTAAGCAATACACTCATTATTCTCTATGTTATGTGCATTGTATCCCACCACTAGACTCCTGAAATCAAACTTGCCCATTAATTTATTAATTAAAACTCTCCAACTCACTGGATCTTTCCTCTACCAGAGTGTTTAGCTTTAATTTACCGTCAATAATAATAAATAATAATAATCTTGTCGAGGCTTGATGTGAGATCCTTTCTCTCTAATGACTGCGATCTGATTCGCTGCTCTCGTTTTGAACTTAATAATTTGAAACTTGAAAGCGCGGGGAATCTAAAAGGTTAGCGACTGACAGACAGTGAATAATGGTAAATTAAAGAAAAAGACGTTCCATGGTAGATGTATTAATTAATTAATAATATAAAATAAAAACTCGTAAAGCGTGGTGTGGCGTGACTTGTCGAAAATAGTAGAAAGTAGTAGTAACGGCATGGCATGATTTACAGGATGGAAATGACTGATGGAGCCGCATGCGTGCGTTGAGTAGCGTGAAGACCTGGTGGACGAAAAATCGAGGAGCATGCACTGTTTACTTTGCTTAGTTTTCGTTATGCTTTTCTTTTTCTCTTAACTTTTAAATATTTAATTAACGTACAACAGGAAATCTCGTTGGGAAGACAAGTCTTTATTTATTGAGCACCAAAGTCCCAACCCCGTTTAAGACGATAATGCTTTGGGTGCGCCTACGGTGACTTGCACTTTTCGGGGTT